ACTTCCCCCATTTGGAGAATATGACTAGGAGTGAAAGCTTATCATCTAACACAGGCGAGGAAGACAATTCAGCTGTGGATTTAACTTCAAACAAGTATGCAGGTAAATATAAAGGTTATCTTGAAGATAATGTGGGGATTCCCTTGCCTATGAAAAATTTAATCTCCTTATAAAGACTGCATATAGAGTGCACAAGGAGAGTAATGGCAGTTGTTCATTGAGGACTAATCAGTGTCTCAGACTTCTCAATTTTTGGTGATACTCTTAATCATATTCAAATACTCCCTCCATTTCAATTTGTTTGTCTTACTTTTCTTTTTAGTCCATTTAATAAAGATGTTTCTTTCCTTTTTTGGCGTAACTCTAAATTTTTTACTTTCCACATGTCATGTTTAAGACCACAAGATTTAGAAAGAATATAAGTGCACCAGTCCATGTATACTTTTGACAATTTGCTTCCCTACATCCAATTGATTTGGGTGCATTATTTCAGCATGGGCAGTGGAAGTTGCCGAGAGGACTGCGTCCATGATTGCCAGGTGGCAGGATGTTGGTTTCACACATGGAGTCATGAACACTGATAACATGAGCGTGTTAGGACTCACTATTGACTATGGTCCCTTTGGCTTTTTAGATTCTTTTGATCCCAGTTACACACCAAATACCACTGATCTTCCTGGCAGAAGATATTGTTTTGCAAATCAGCCAGATGTAGGTTTATGGAATATTGCGCAGTTTACCTCTGCTCTATCTACTGCCGAGTTGCTAAGTGATAAAGAGGCAGATTATGCCATGGAGAGGTATCTTTAGATACTAGCATTTAGCCATTTGCTCAAATGTTATGTCTCTGTGATTGCTCGATTATTTCTCTGTTTTGCTGTTGTTGATGTCTATCTGTTGACTTCTTTAGATATGGTAACAAATTCATGGATGATTATCAAGATATCATGACCAGGAAACTTGGTCTGGCGAAGTACAATAAAAAGTTGATTGGTGAACTACTCAAGAATATGGTCTCCGATAAAGTTGATTACACAAATTTCTTTCGATCTCTATCAGACATCAAAGCTGATCCTGTTATTCAAGAGGACCAATTATTGATTCCTCTTAAAGATATTCTTTTAGATATTGGTATGGAACGCAGGGAAGCCTGGACAAGCTGGGTAAAGTCGTATATACAAGAGGTATGTGACGGTGAATTTACTTATTCAAATAATACAATGCTGCCGCCTCAATCCCAAGGGTCGGCTATATGAATCCTCAGTGTCTATGTCTGGTCCATTTAGCTCATTTCAGTCTAATCTTATACAATTTTCCCAAATAGAATGAAGCATATAATGTGTTTGGATTTGGTAAAGCTTCTTGAGCTCAATATTGCAGTGAGTAGGGTAATATCAGGTCGGGTAACATAAGGTCCTTTGAAATTGGACTTTGTCCTGGAACTGCCCGTATTTGAATTGTTATTCACTTCAATAATAAGTTGTTATGGTTTTGTTCTTTAAACTGTTGTCAAATGTTCTTTTAGGATAGCTAGGTGCTCACCTTGTTTGTTCCTTAGACACCAGTAATGGTAGGTGGTAATGGATAACAGTTTCTATCCATGGGAAGATTTTCAAATTCATCCCCTCCCCTGCCTTATTCTTCAAGGTTTCCATCTTTCCAGTCCCCTCTTCCCTGGGCCTAAAAAAGCAAGAAGAAAGACATAAAGGAAATAACAGATAGTAGACGTAAGCAATGGGTGAGAAGTAGTTGTGACACCGTTCTTGTATGGCATTGAATGTGACTCTTATATTCTCATCAATTGAAATGGCTTGTCATGTTAGCATCCTGCTTCTTCCTCTTTTATGTCTAACACCTTGTGCTCAGTTTGTGCTGTGGCAGAGACATCCTTCTACAAGAGGTGTGAGATGACTTATATGTAGATAATAGTGTGGTCGCCCATTAGGTGGGAGAGGGAGGGGGCTTGCCCCATATCCTTTTTCTCCTTATTAGTAGTAATATTTAGTAATCACATAGTTTCTTATTCTTCATGTGTGTCTACTATTTGTTGCTTCATTTTGCTTTATATCTTGATATTTGTTGTCATTTTTTTCTGCTTGCAACCCTTCCATGAATAGCTTCCCTTTTAAGCCAAGGATCTATCGGAAACCTCTTTACCCCACAAAAGTAGGGTAAGGTCTGCATACATCTCACCCTCCCTAGACCCCACTTGTGGGATTACATTGGGTATGTTGTTGTTGTTGTATGTAAGTTGTGTTTTTTCTTAAAAGATAGTATCTATATATAAGGCTGATACAACTTGAAAAACAATGTTTAGAGTAAACATCAATTTGAAGCAGGAAGCGAAGCCTTGTAACTTACACAACTTGACGTTAACTCATTTGCAAATTGAATAGTTGAGTTGTGATAATAGACAGACATTGCTTGCGTAAAATCCTGCTTACACCATTGTTTTATGCGGTTGTTTTGTGTGGAATCTTCTCTGGAAATCATCAAGTTCCATTCTTGTATGTGAGGTACTTATGGTGTCACTTTTCTACCTCTTGCAGCTCTCTACAACTGGTGTATTAGATGAGGAGAGGAAAGTTTCAATGAATTCAGTAAATCCAAAGTACATCCTCAGAAACTATCTATGCCAGAATGCCATTGATGCAGCAGAACAAGGCGATTTTGGGGAGGTTCGGCAGTTATTGAAGGTTATGCAATGTCCATTTGATGAACAACCTGGCATGGAGAAATATGCACGCTTGCCTCCAGCTTGGGCTCATCGTCCGGGTGTATGCATGCTTTCTTGTTCCTCATAAGGTTTCCGGGTGTATGCTTATGCTTTCTTGTTCCTCATAAGATTTCCACTATGTAATACAAGAGTTTCACTTGTATATATATAATAGAAATCAGTTCTTCGTTCTTGCAGTAATGTGTAAAAAGTACATTAACAATTGTATTGTAAGAAGAAGATTCAGCTCGATTCGCTGCAAAAGAGAAAGAACTCCTGGTAACATTTTCACACGTTATTGCATTTGGAGAAGTTTTTTTTTGCAGGTTCTTTGCCTCGTTGGAGCTCATTTGTTACGGAAGTCTTTATGTAACATTTGATAATCAAACATTATTTTTTTCTCTTGATTTTCTGAGCAGAACCAACCTTTTTTCTTAGTTCTGGAAAAAATAGTAATAAAAAACACTATATATAAATACAAGATTATATTCAAGTGTGCGTGATGTGTATTAGGAGTACGTCAGGAGTTTGAATTATGTCATAGAAACCCATCGTCCATCATCATTTTTTTCTCTATGTGCTCACATTGATACTTTATACCCTATGTATCTTATCATTAACTTGCTGACTTTGATTCATATTTCCACTCTACAACAAACAGGTCCTTGCTTATTGAAATCCAAAGCTTTCAACTATTGTCCCGTGATTTACGCGGAAAAAAATGAGACGTAGCATCCTTGAGGTTTGGAAAATGGGCACTGTGATACTCGAGCTAACGATGATTGAAGGCAGAGATTGGACAGAGATGTGAAACAGGTGTATGGGTTGATGACAGAAAGATAGGCGTGATTGGAGTTTGGATTTCATCTCATGGATTATCATTCAATGTGGATCCAGATTTATGATTCTTTAACCATATTGTGCCTTGTGGAATTGCAAATAAAGATGTTACATCTTTGACAATTGAAGCAGATATAGAGTTTCCTGCTGAAGAAGTAATCCAACGACTGTTAATTTGTTGTTTTGTGAGAATATTTGGGTACAATGATGTAACTTTTAAGAATGATCTGTAATTTGATAAGCAAATACTTGAATGCAATGTGTAATTGATGTGTGCATTCGTTCCTCGATGGACTTTTCCTACTTAGAGACGTTCAAGTGGCAAAACCAGGAATTTCGTTAAAGATGTTCAAGATTTGATACATATGTATAAAAGTAATATTTGATCTATATACCCAACTTTCCACCATTGTAAGTAATAACTTTGCCCTTGTGTTCAAGAGAATCCAAACAACTATTGCAGGTTTAACGTCTGGCTAATACGCTATCCAACTTGTTTCACACTCTTCCGGCATATGCTGCAGGAGTAAACATACCTGTCGCCTATGCCTACAACGTGTTGAATCCCACATCATTCACTTAGGAATGGACTGGCCTTCAACCTTCCTATATGGTCGTGCACAATCTTCCCATCACGAGCTAGCTTTTGGGGTGCAAGCCTGAGTTGACCCTACTAGTTTCACAATGAAAAGATTTCAAAGTCCGAAGGAGGTGATATGACTGATCCAACAGTTTATAGAAGTATAATTGCTAGTTTTCTATATTTGACAGCAACAAGACCTGATCTCATGTCCGCGATAAGTCTTCTGTCGAGGTTTATGCATGCTATATGTCAAAGTCCATCTTGGTGTAGCTAAACGGACGTTGAAGTATATCAAGTGAACTGTTGATTATGTTATTTGGTTTTAAAACGAAGAGCAAGGACAATTGATGGGTTATTCAGATAGTGAATGGGCAAGAAGCGTTGATGCTACGAAAAGCATTTGTTGATATGCTTTCACACTTGGTTCAGGCATGTTCTCATGAAATTCAAAAAAAGCAAGAGGTGGTAATTCAATCTTCTGCAGAAGCAGAATACGTACATCACCCCGCTGCTGGTGCAACTAATCAGGCTCTAAGATTCTAAGTGATCTGGAGCAAAATCCCAGTGAAGCTACTGTCATTAAGGTTGACAACAGGTCAGCAATATCTATAGCCAAAAATCCATTGCAACATGGGACATAGAAATCATATAAATGTGAAATTTCACGCTAGGGGCAAGCAGAGAAGGATGACGAAGTTAAACAGTATAGTTTTTTCTCTGAAGTTCCAAATGCTAACATATTGAAGTAATATTTGACCTATAAACACGGTACAATTATTCAGCGAAGGGTACAATTATTCAGCTAAGGGTGTTTGACAGATCACCTTCGACACGAAAAACCAAACAATCGATCATATATATATATATATACATCTTCAAGTGGTAACCTGAATACACTAGTTTTATAAGCATTTCTTCAATTTTCCTCATGTATATCTTCAGCAGGTAAGCTCTTCTATCTTTTCTGGAAGTTGAAAACCTTAATAGCCAAAGCAAATGTGACGGCAAAAACAACAGCATATGCAACAGTCACAACTGCAGCTACTCCAATAAAATCATGCTTGAACCCGAAGTAACGCCTAAGGAATTGTTTGGCTGTTTCATCACTATCAGTAATTTTGTTTTGGAGGTCTCCGAATTGTGATGCAACCAAACCATACAATGTCCAGGCAACAGGATCAGCCCAATAGTACCATCTCCACCATATGGGCATACTCTGGTTATTTAAAAGAAAAAACAACGAAAACATGTCATCATATTCAAGCTCCAAAATTGATATTCATGTGAACAAAATGGAAGTGTTTCAAGAACTTACAGGTCGTGGAACAATGAATCCTGAGAAGAGATTCCACATTCCATATCCGGAGACAGAGACAATTTGCGCGACATGTTGATTTGGGGTAATGGCAACGCTCATCATACCATAGAAGGTGAAGTACAAGAGAGTGAAGAACATTATGAACAAGTACCAAAAGAACTTACTCTCTGTCCATTCAAATCCAATCATAGCATAGACGATAACACCAAAGGAAACAGCTTGCACAAAGACATACGGAATTTCAATGAAAGTCTGCAGATTAGAGTTATTTAGACTTTTTAAACCGGAGATTGGCTTGTAAGAAGTTAAATCATCTGCTTACTTGTCCAAGGCATAGGGGATGGCAGAAAACATTCCAGCAGCTCTTTCTCTGTAATATACTGTACGCTCAACGGCTACAACAGGCAATACTGATGATGCATTTTGAAAACCAAGGAAGAAAACAGGAGTATACATTGATCCCAAAGCGTTAAACAGGTCTTGTTTCTTACCCCTATAACACACAGAAATAAGCTTTTAGCATTAAAAATTAAAAGTATTTTCCAGACTATATGAGTACTTGTTTCGTCATATGTTTAGGGACTTACACTTTACTACCAAGATCCCAGAACATTGTCCCAATGGCCAAGGCGATGAAGATTGTAAAGATATATCTGACTGCAGTATAAGCAGGATTACGCCAGTATGACCAATGTTGCTTCCAAAGGCAAGCCATACATTGGTTCCAAAATGGTTGTGCGTATTGATTGTCGAAATGCAGGTCTTTTGTACCAGGGCGAGGCACGCTAAGTTCACTAATCAATGTTTTATTCCTCCTATAAAGGTCTGATTTCTTGTATAAATCAGTAAAATCAACCCCCAACATCGTTTCCTGAGCCGAATTTGTGACTTCTAACATCCAAGTTGCTGGATTGTAGCCATCGTGTATCTTACTTACCCCAGGAATTGACTGAATACAAGAAGAATTAGTTTGTTATTCGATCGTATTAACTTGAAAAATGGGAGGCTCATTTATCTGCTTAGACAACTTACCTCAAAGTATCTGATCAAATGGCAAGAATGGTGACCCAATGGACCAACATATATCTCTTTTCCTCCTCGTTTCATTAGAAATAGCTGCAAAGAGTGGTCTGTATATTAGTATTTGTACAAATATGTCACCTTGACCTATATCAACCCCAAAAGCTAACTCATGACGGGAGGATTGTCCAAGTCCATATAAGCAGATCACTAGTCCATTCCCCAACCAATGTGAGACTTTTACCCACTCTTAACACCCCCTTCAGTCCCAAGCCCAACTAGAGTGTGGACCGGGAGCCCAAACGGGGATGGACTTGGCTCTGATACTATGTAAAGATATCAAAAGAGAAAGAAGACACATTTATTAAATTCACCTCGTCAAAGGCTTCAAAAATGTCGATACTAGGCTGATGGATGGTACAAACAACAGTTCTTCCTGTGTCAACTGTGTTCCTAACAGTTCTCATAACAATTGCAGCAGCTCTTGCATCCAGCCCTGAAGTTGGTTCATCCATGAAAATGATAGAGGGGTTTGCCACTAGTTCCACTGCAATGGTCAACCTTTTGCGTTGCTCGGTTGAGAGACCGTTGACTCCTGGCAGACCAACCAACGCTGACCTTAATGGTGTAAGTTCCACAAGTTCCATAACTTCATCAACAAACATCTACACAAGGATATTAAATAGGAAATGTCATCATTTCCACCTTTATTGCATTTAACTGATATTCAAAAGGAGCCAACCTTTCTGGTCTTTTCATCAACATCAGAAGGTAAACGCAACCAAGCTGAGTATACTAATGACTCATAAACTGTAACATAAGGTGAATGGATATCATTCTGCTCACAGTATCCAGATATACGTGCAAATGTTTCTTGCTTCTTCGGATAGCCAGAGATCTTGATACTACCTTCAATATAACCTCCTGTTTTTCGTCCGGCCATTACATCCATCAACGTTGTTTTTCCAGCACCACTAACTCCCATCAATGCTGTCAAAACACCAGGCCTAAAAGCTCCGCTTACACCATTCAGAAGTACCAATCTATCCTCAGTAGCACCTTGATTTTTCATTTCCTGGAAGTATCATTGGGAAGTTCAGTATCACTGGAAAGTATCATAATATTTGATCCTATAATAATTCCAGCTAGTTACCTGAGGCATGTTAACAGAGTATGTTACTTCATCGAAGGTGATGGAATGTGGTTCGAATGGAAGAACCATTCCCTTTTTCTTATTCTGGTCCTCACTAGTGGACACTTCTTTCTCAGTGTTTGTTGTTTTGGCATCATCACTGTCTTCTGATATCATATCTTGCGGCTTACCAAATGCTGTAGATATTCAACTAAACATTCAATGTATTCACCTTTAAGGAAAAATAAATGGAAAAACTCTAAAGATACTCACGGTTGAGATAAGCGAGTGCAAGACTGTAGAAGATGTTAAAGATGATATTGAATCCAATAAGTGCACCGACACCTATCCAGTACCAGTATGCATTTGGGAAGAACCCTCGGGATCTTACAACTGCAACTCCAAGTGAATCAGTTCCAATTGGTGCAATGTGTTTCCACCTTTTCCCATCAAATTCATTCACAAGAATTGAATTCATAGAATACATCAACGGTGAAGACCAGTAACCCCATATCCACCATTTCTTCACATCATCTACAATATTAGCAGTAGTCGGTTTTAGCAAGATAAAAGCTTCTACAACCACATAAATCAACAAATATACCTCGTGAAAGAACGAATCCACCCAATCCAAATAGTAAAAGCAGAGCAAATGTTCCATATGTATTTGCAACTCCCATGGTCCTTCCAGCAGCCCCAATGAAGCGGCACATTCCTGATGTCATCTGGTTTACTAAATGAGTATCAAGAAATGTTTGAATAATCTGCAGAAGGAAAAAAGGAAACTGTTGAAGTTAACCTGATATTTATGCTGCATCATCTTTATTTTAACCTTACCTTACAGGGCTTGGATCAAATCCGATTACATAGTAAGTGAGGAACACCCAAAGGCCAACTTCAACAAATGCTATAGGGATTTTGAGTATCCATGAGGGCATTGCATAAGCCCATGAAGGGAAAAACAGAAGGTCCCTCTGCTTGTAGAAGATAGGAAGTTTGTAAATTACCAAGCCTATCTCAATCATTCCGCTAAACATAATCAGAATGACTATAAAGAAGAGGGCACCAGCATATTTTCCTCCATCTTCTATAGTATCATGGGGCATCTTAGTACGGAAAAAGAGGGTCATTGTTATGACTGCCATAATCATATTCTGCGAACAGATTTGAGGCATTAGTACTTGCAAGCAAATATGATGAGCCGGAGACGTGAAAATTTAATATTTTTATAGACAAGTGATCACCTGAATGAACTTGAAGATGTAAATAAATGAGTTCCTCTTCATTAGTAAGAGTTCTCGTTCAGTGCAGACCTTTAAGAGTTGTTTCTTCCCTATACCATACTTTTGAGTTGACAAAGCAGCAGGATGGCTTTTGCTCTTGTCATATGAAGCTGCAAGCTCATCCGCGAGTTTCCTCCCAACATGGAACGATTGATATGCCTCAGCAAATTCTTTTGAGGTGATAAACCGGTAAGTTTCATCCTTCCTCACCCAATATTGCTGTTGATCTTTCTTTGAAGTCACCTGCAACAAATTTAAATTTTCACCATCAGAAGGGAAATAGACCATTGCTTGTCAACCTTATTAGTTTTGTAGTTTCTTGTAAGACATACTTCTTGCAAGAAGTCGGCCACGCCTTTTCTATCAGGACATCTGAAGCCCATGGACTCGAAGAAGCCAAGGACATCCTCTCGAGGGCCCTGATAGACAATTTTTTCATCTGATAGTAGAATAATGTCGTGAAACAAGTTGTACGTCTCCGGTGCTGACTGCAAGAGAGATATCACAGCAGTTCCGTTCAAGATTTGCACATATGCACATATTGTCTTAGAGATTTCACTATTGAGTAAGTGGTGGAACTATCCAATCCAGTTGAGATTTCATCCATGAAAAGTGCCTTCGACGGTCCAACAAGCATTTCACAGGTTGTCACGCGCTTCTTTTGTCCTCCTGAAATACCCCTTATCATTTCATCTCCCACCATAGTATCTGCACAAATATCCAGTCCCAAAAGCTGCAGTAGAATACACGAATCACTCAGTTATCAAATTTTCTTCCACCTTCTGATCGTCGGGAATTTCGAGAAAATAGTGAACATCACTTTTTGTTACCTTCAGAACATAATCTGTAACAAAAACGGCTTCTTGTCTCTCTGTTGCTAATGCCTACATTGTCACAAAATAATTATAAGCATTTGTTTTCGAGAAAGAAAATATTCTAGTTGCTTACCTTCATGAAAATATCAATATCAGGATCTGGCTTGATTTTAGCTGCTTTCTCTCTTCTTGACAGTTCAACCAACATCTCTACAAAAAAATTCCGAGAAACATCAATCGATATATCAATCTACGTTAGTTAAATTTCAACACAAAATGATTTTTATTGAACCAGAAGTTTGAAATATAACCATAACGCGAGCCAACTCCCTGGCATCTGGCAGAGAATTCCAAGGTTTCTCTCAGTCATTTCTCCAATGTGTAAATCATACTGGCTAATATAAGCAGCTGTTCTTTGTGGCACAAATTCATTCATTTCATGTCCATTATAGGTCACTTTTCCAGTAACCTGATTTCAGAAAAACAGAAAAAAAAAAAACCAAATACAAACATTTGGTTTGGAGTTTAAGTTCTATGCATTGACAGTCTATGATAAGAACATATTAATTGTTGAACTGATAAAAATGATACTAATCTTTGCAGTCAGTATATATAACTTAAGTCCCTTCGATACGTAGAACTAATGGTGTTACCTTAAGGGCAGAGTCAAGCTTTCCAGCCAAAGCTAATAAAAAAGTAGTTTTCCCACAACCTGGAGGTCCTAAAAGCAAAGTCATTCTGCAAGGCTTAATGATACCACTCACATCATTAAGAATAGTGAGTTTCCTCTTTCGACTCGGTAGAATATGGAGAGAGTTCAACATATCCTATGAATCCAAAACACAAAACAAAAAAATAAGTTACAAACATCCTTTTTGTTAAAGAGAACTGAGATTCGAAATCAAGATTTTCTTTTAGATATATTTTACCTCAAGAAAATTAGTGATAAAGTTGATAAATGTAGGCAAAGCTCTACTTCCTATATATGCATCTGCCTCAATAGTTAAATGCTCATATCTTACTTCTATTTCTGGCAAATCTATCCCTACTCTGTGAAAAGAAATAAAAAATGTTAAATCAAAAGAGAAAAACAACTAGTCATAGATAAACAACAGTATAACAATAACTACGTTTCAATTCTAAGCAAGTCCGACTGCCTATATGAATCTTCATCATCTAAGTCGCTCCATTTAAGACCGTCTAAGTTAAATACTATATTAAAAAAAACTAGTCTTAGATAAACAACAGTATACCAACTACTATGTCCCAATTGTAAGCAAGTCAGATTGACTATATGAATCCTCACAATCCATGCCACTTCGTTTACATATGTCTCAGTTTAATATTTCTCCCTCCATTCCAGTTTATGCAAAACTGGTTCCTTTATTAGTTCGTTAAAGAAAGAATGACACTTTAACTTTTCATTCTACCTTTAGTGAGAAAATTATGTTGCCAGACAAGTGATATGCCATGTCTACAGCCACAAGTTTCGAAAATTTTTCTTTCTTAATCTTCTTGCGCAGTCAAATTATGTTACATAAATTTGTACAAGGAGTATAAAAGTTAGTTTCTTTAACACTATAGATTATCTAGATTTTCTAACAACGTATATATCTCTAACAACTCCTAACGAACATTGAACCTAAAGTAAACTCCGTACACTGCTAAAATGTAATCACAACTATATAGATATTTTTCGTCCACCAAAGACGACAGAAGGTTCATCAACTTACCTGTCAATTCTTTGCCTGAGTTTCAACAAGAGCTTCTCATTATCCTCTTCTGCAACTTTGACAAGCCTTTCAAGCAACTTGTTTCTTTCTTGAAGGCCAATATCATGTATATCAATTTCAGCAGATGCACCTTGTGATCCAAACAAGAGACCTTTTCTCAAACAATCAAACGTTGGAAGTTTTTCAAGAGCTGCCCATTTAAGAGCCTCTTCATCATCTTCGTCCCTCGTGGAATGATTAAAAATCTCCCCATCATTGCTAGTCCACCTAGAGTTGTTAGTACTATTCCCCTTTAAACTTAAGCTCCCTTTCAAACTATTTCCCCTGATTATTCTTTCTCTCAAACTAGTACCTCTTGAATTTGTTGGCTCCATTTTGAACCAAACAAAGTTAGTTAAGTGTGTTGCTAAAGTTTAAAAGCTAAGGGATTATTATATAATAGCAAGTAGAAAAGGAGGGGGGCTATTGAATAATAAATAGTTTGACAAAAAAAATTAATTTTGCCCAATGCTTTTGAATATACTTTATTAACTCAATCGCCTAGTGTGCATCTAAAGAGTAGCGGTTGGGGATTAAAAAAAAGACTATCAGACATTAATTATACGGAACAGGAAGAAGTCGGTTTTACTAATATTAAAACTAAAAACAAGCATACATCAGTTCTTCATTGGTTTGGATCTTATCGATTTTTTTGGTTTTTTGTCATTTTTTTTAAACAGAGACATTTTATTGTACCCACACTCAAAGGAAGACCACAAGCTCAGAGCTCGACGAAATAGAAAGTTTCAAACATGTTGAAAATGGGGTTAGCAGTGATATTTCGGCGACTATATTCCAGACAATTACTTTATAAGAAAATTGTCATTTACAAATAGATCTTGATGGTATTAATTGAAATAAATAGTGAGGAATAGTTTAAGGACTCAGTTTAAAAACAAAGTTATTTTTAAACGTAAAATAGATATTTAGACTTATATATCAAATTAAAGATTATAAATCAAATTAGAATGTCAAGGCAAAGAACTAATCTACAAGCCAAAAGTGTGTAACTATGATTTTTAGATTGACATTTATATAATCGATTGGTCCCGATTTTTTTCTATTACTTTTTGCTTAAAACCAAAACCAAACCAAAGCTTGTCAATTGTTAAAATTGCATAAAACAAACAACAACAACAAAAAGTATTCTTTTCCAATTTGATTCGATTTTTGGTTTGGTTTTATTTTTTGGTGTAACAACTCTAGTGATCCAGGCCAACTTTATTGGCCACTCTGGTTATATATTGTAGTATCTAAAACCATCAAAGTTTTCTGCTAGAATTAAAATGCTTAAGAATTGACATTAATTGGGACATTAAATATTTTGTTACTCTATATATTTATGTTAGGTTCAATCTATTTTCTTTTGTTGACTCTACATCTTTAAGAGTTGTATATCTTCTTATAACATTGCATATCTTCTGATCTTTTTTTCTATCCTCTTATAGACTCCTTAGTCGTTCAAAGACGACTCAATAGAATTGATAATCTGGAGTCGAATTCTAATAAAAGATCTCAAACTTTTTTTCGAAAAGAAAAAAAAAACACTAGATTTTGATTTAAAGTTAATAATTTTTCTTATAATCAATTTCTTCTAATAATTTTAGTTGATAGACAATATATCCATTTAACCTCTCTTGTATGCATCATTAAAGAGTTGGGCACGTCCAACTATCATTCAACTTCGATTAATTAATGACGGATTTTTCCTCTTCTATTTTTTGGCCATTATTTCAGTTTTCATTTTGACGCCTCAACTAAGACCAGTACTTGATAAACATTAAAAACAGAGATGTCAAACTTCATTATTTCGATTCAGATTAGTCTTACACATTAGCTTCGACTTCCTGAAAGTTCAAGAATACCAAAATAGTTACAAAATCGATTCAAACTAATGAACTTACAAAATCAACGGGACATTTCACTGCATAGTAATGCGATACAAAACAAACAGAACATATATATATATATATACTTCTTCAAGTGGTAACCTGAATACACAGGTAAGCTCTTCTATCTCTTCTGGAAGTTGAAAACCTTAATAGCCAAAGCAAATGTGAAGGCAAAAACAACAGCATATGCAACAGTCACAAATGCAACTACTCCAAGAAAATCATGCTTGAACCCGAAGTAACGCCTCAAGAAATGTTTGGCTGTTTCATCACTATCAGTAAGTTTATCTTGGAGGTCTCCGAATTGCGATGCAACCAAACCATACAATGTCCAGGCAACAGGACAAGCCCAATAGTACCATCTCCACCATATGGGCATACTCTGGTTATTTAAAAACAATGAAAACATGTCATCATTTTCAAGCTCTAAATTGATTTTCATGTAGAACAAAATGGAATAGTTTCAAGAACTTACAGGTCGTGGAATCATGAATCCTGAGAAAAGATTCCACATTGCATAGCCGAAGAGAGAGACAATTTGCGCAATATTTTGATTTGGGGAAACGGCAACGCTCATCATACCATAGAAGGTGAAGTACAAGAGAGTGAAATACATGATAAACAAGTACCAAAAGAACTTGGTCACTGTCCATTCAAATCCGATCATAGCATAGATGATAACACCATAGGTAACAGCTTGCACAAAGACATATGGTATTTCAATGAAAGCCTGCAAATTAAAATTATTTCTTTTTAGACTTTTTAAACCAGAAATTGGCTTATAAGAAGTTAGAGCCTCTGCTTACTTGTCCAAAGGCATATGGGAGGGCAGAATACATTCCAGCAGCTCTTTCTCTGTAAAATACTGTACGCTCAACGGCTACAACAGGCATCACTGATGATGCATTTTGAAAACCAAGGAAGAGAACTGGAGCATACATAGATCCCATAGCGTTAAATAGGTCTTGGCTCTTACCGCTGTAATACCAAAAAAATAAGCTTTTAGCATTAATAACTGAAAGCATTTTCCAGATTATGAGTACTTGTTCCGTCATATGTTTGGACTTACACTTTAGTACCAAGATCCCAGAACATTGTCCCAATGGCCAAGGCGATGATGATTGTAAAGATATATCTGACTGCAGTATAAGCAGGATTACGCCAGTATGACCAATGTTGCTTCCAAAGGCAAGCCATACATTGGGTCCAAAATGGTTGTGAGTATTGATTGTTGAAATGCAGGTCTTTTGTACCAGGGCCAGGCACGCTAAGTTCTCTAATCAATATTTTGTTCCTCATGTAAAGATCTGATTTCTTGTATAAATCGGTGAAATCAAGCCCCAACATCATTTCTTGAGCTGAGTTTGTGACTTCTAACATCCAAGTTGCTGGATTGTAGCCATCTTGTATTTTACTTACCCCAGGAATTGACTGAATACAAGAAGAATTAGTTTGTTATTCAATCGTATTAACTTGAAAAACGGGAGGCTCATTTATCTGCTTAGGCAACTTACCTCAAAGTATCTGATCAAATGGCAAGAATGGTGACCCAATGGACCAACATATATCTCTTTTCCTCCTCGTTTCATTAGAAATAGCTGCAAAGAGTGGTCTTCATATTAGTATTCAATGTCAAAAGAGAAAGATGACATTTATTAAATTCACCTCATCAAAGGCTTCAAAAATGTCGATACTAGGTTGATGGATGGTACAAACAACGGTTCTTCCTGTGTCAACTGTGTTCCTAACAGTTCTCATAACAATTGCAGCAGCTCTTGCATCCAACCCCGAAGTTGGTTCATCCATGAAAATGATAGAGGGGTTTGCCACTAGTTCTACTGCAATGGTCAACCTTTTGCGTTGCTCAGTTGAGAGACCATTGACTCCTGGAAGACCAACCAAGGCTGACCTTAATGGTGTAAGCTCCACAAGTTCCATAACTTCATCAACAAACATCTGCACAAGGATATTAAATAGGAAATGTCATATGATTTCCACATTAACTGCATTTAACTTATATTCAAAAGGAGCCAACCTTTCTGGTCTTTTCATCAACATCAGAAGGTAAACGCAACCAAGCTGAGTATACTAATGACTCATAAACTGTAACATAAGGTGAATGGATATCATTCTGTTCACAGTATCCGGATATACGTGCAAATGTTTCTTGGTTCTTCGGATAGCCAGATATCTTGATACTACCCTCAATATATCCTCCTGTTTTTCGTCCGGCCAATACATCCATTAACGTTGTTTTTCCAGCGCCACTAACTCCCATCAATGCTGTCAAAACACCGGGCCTGAAAGCTCCACATACACCATTCAGAAGTACCAATCTATCTTCAGTGACACCTTGATTTTTCATTTCCTGGAAGTATCATTGGAAAGTTAAGTATTATAATTTTTTTATCCTACAACAATTCCTAGCTAGTTACCTGAGGCATGTCAACAGAGTATGTAACTTCATCGAAGGTTATAGAATGCGGTTCAAATGGAAGAACCATTCCCTTTTTCTTATTCTGGCCCTCACTAGTGGACACTTCTTTCTCAGTGCTCGTTGTTTTGGCATCATCACTGTCTTCTGATATCATACCTTGCGGCTTACCAAATGCTGTAGATATTCAACTAAACATTCAATGTTTTCACCTTTAGGGGAAATGAAAGGTGAAACTCTAAAGATACTCACGGTTGAGATAAGCTAGTGCAAGACTGTAGCAGATGTTAAAGACGATTGTGAATCCAATTAGTGCACCGACGCCTATCCAGTACCAGTATGCATTTGTGAAGAACCCTCGAGATCTTACAACTGCAACTCCAAGTGAATCAGTTCCAATTGGTGCAATTTGTTTCCACCTTTTTCCACCAAATTCATTCACAAGAATTGAATTCATAGAATACATCATTGGTGATGACCAGTAACCCCATAGCCACCATTTCTTCACATCATCTACAATATCAGCAGTAGTCTGTTAGCAGTAGTTGGTTTTAGCAAGATTAAAGCTTCTACTAACACATAAATCACCAAATATACCTCGTGAAAGAACGAATCCACCCAATGCAAACTGTAAAAGCAGAACAAATGTTCCAAATGTATTAGCAACTCCCATGGTCCTTCCAGTTGCCCCAATGAAGCGGAACAATCCTGACGCCATCTGGTTTACTAATATGAGTAGCAAAAACTGTTTGAAAAATCTGCAAAAATAGACTCATGTTAAGTAATCACAGGAAAAAGGAAACTGTTGAAGGTAACCTGATCTTTATACTGCATCATCTATTTCTTCTCTTACCTTGCAGGGCTCGGATCAAATCCGATGACATAGTAAGTGAGGAACACCCAAAGTCCAACTTCAACAAATGTTATAGGGATTTTGAGTATCCATGTGGGCATTGCATAAGCCCATGAAGGGTAAAAGAGAAGGTCCCTTTGCTTGTAGAAGACAGGAAGTTTGTAAATTGTCAGGGCGATCTCAGCCATTCCGTTAAACATAATCATAGTGACTACAAAAAAGAGGGCACCAACATATTTTACTCCATCTTCAATTCTATCACGCGGCATCTTAGTACGGAAAAAGAGAGTCATTGATATGAGTGCCATAATTGTAAGCTGTGAACAGATCAAAACCATGAGGCATTAGTACTTGCGAGCAAATATGATGAGCCGGAGACTTGAAATTTAATATTTTCATTGACAAGTTGTCACCTGAATGAACTTGAAGATGTAAACAAATGAGTTCCTCTTCATTAGTAAGAATTCTCGTTCAGTGCAGACCTTTAAGAGTTGTTTCTTCCCTATACCATACTTTTGAGTTGACAAAGCAGCAGGATGGCTTTTACTCTTGTCATATGAAGCTGCAAGATCATCCACGAGTTTCCTTCCAACATGGAACGATTGATATGCTTCAGCAAATTCTTTTGACGTGATAAACCGGTAAGTTTCATCCCTCCTCACCCAATATTGCTGTTGATCTTTCTTTGAAGTCACCTGCAATGAATTTAAATTTCCACCATCAGAAGGGAAAATAGATCAATCATTGTCAACCTTATTAGTTTATTGTAAGACATACTTCTTGCAAGAAGTCGGCCACGCCTTTTCTATCAGGACATTTGAAACCCATGGACTCGAAGAAGCCAAGCACATCCTCTCGAGGGCCCTGATAGACAATTTTCCCATCTGATAACAGAATAATGTCGTCAAACAAGTTGTACGTCTCGGGTGCTGGCTGCAAGAGAGATATCACAGCAGTTCCGTGCAAGATTTGCACAGATTGTCTTAGTGAGTTCACTATTGAGTAAGTAGTGGAACTATCCAATCCAGTTGAGATTTCATCCATGAAAAGTGCCTTTGACGGTCCAACGAGCATTTCACCGGTTGTCACACGCTTCTTTTGTCCTCCTGAAATTCCCCTTATCATTTCATCTCCCACCATAGTATCTGCACAAATATCCAGCCCCAAAAGCTGCAGTGGAATACACAAATCACTTAGTTATCAAATTTTCCTCAGCCTTCTGATAGTCGGAAATTTTGAGAAATTAGTGAAACATATTTCTGTTACCTTCAGAACATATTCTGTAACAAAATTGGCTTCTTGTCCCTCTGCAGCTAATGCCTACATTGTCACAAAATAATTATAAGCATTTGTTTTAGAGAAAGGAAATATTCTAGTTGCTTACCTTCATGAAAATATCAATATCAGGATCTGGCTTGATTTTAGCTTCTTTCTCTCTTCTTGTCAGTTCAACCAACATCTCTGCAAAAACAATTCCGAGAAACATCAATCGATATATCATCCACGTTAGTTAAATTTCAACACAAAATGTTTTTTTTAAAGAACAAGAAGTTTGAAATATGATCAAGATTCATTACAACAAAAACAACTTTTAGCGGCAATAAATATGCATATTAATAAAGAGTGCTAAAGACTTTACTAGCATTAATTAATTGTCAATGGATCCAATATCGCTATAGGCTTTAGGGACATTTACAAACCGTGCTAAATGCCTCTAAAAAAACATATATAGTGGCAATTAAGTTATTGTCGTTAATTAATTGCCACTAAAGATAATTTTTGGGTTTAGTGATTAAGAAAAAAGGAAAGAAATTCTAACCATAGCTCGATCCAACTCCCTGGCATCTGGCAGAGAATTCCAAGGTTTCTCTCACAGTCATTTCTCCAATATGTAAATCATACTGGCTAATATAAGCAGCTGTTCTTTGCGGCACAAACTCATTCATTTCATGTCCATTATAGGTCACTTTTCCAGTAACCTGATTTCCAAATAACAAAAAAGCAACCACACAAACAAATGTTTGGTTTGGAGTTTGAGTTTTATGCATTGACAGTCTATAATAAGAAGTATATATTAATTGTTGGAACGACAAAAATGACAACTAATCTTTGAACTATCAGTATATATATAGCTTAAATCCCTTCGATACGTAGAACTAATGGTGTTACCTTAAGGGCAGAGTCAAGCTTTCCGGCCAAAGCTAATAATAATGTAGTTTTCCCGGAACTTGGAGGTCCTAAAAGCAAAGTCAATCTGCGAGGCCTAATGATACCACTCACATCATTAAGAATAGTTAGTTTCCTCTTTCGACTCGGTAGGATATGGAGAGGGTTCAATATATCCTATGAATCCAAAAAAATAAAAAGTTAGTTACAAACATCCTTTTTGTTAAAGAGAATTGAGATTCGAAATCAAGATTTTCTTTTAGATAGATTTTACCTCAAGAAAATTAGAGATAAAGTTGATAAATGTAGGCAAAGCTCTACTTCCTATATATGCATCTGCCTCAATAGTTAAATGCTCATATCTTACTTCTATTTCTGGCAAATCTATCCCAACTCTGTGAAAAGAAAAAAGAATTGTCAAACAACTAGTCATAGATAATCAACAGCATCACAATAACTACGTCTCAATTCTAACCAAGTCGGACTAATGACAATATGAATCATCATCGTCCATGTCGTTCCATTTAAGTCAGTCTCAATTAAATATTATAAAAACAAATTAGTCTTAGATAAACAACAGCTTAACAACTACAACGTCTCAGTTTGTAAGCAAGACATTTGACTATATGAATCCTCACTATTCATGCCACTTTGTTTACATATGTCTCAGTTACATATTAATATTTCCTTATTAATTCATTACAGAAAGAATGATACATTTTTATACCTAGAAACACCAAACTTAGCTTTTTATTCTACCTTTCGTGAGAAACTTCTGTAGCCACACAAGTGATATGACATGTTTAAGGCAGCGAGTTTCAGAAGTTCTACAGCCACATTATGACATATTTAAGACCACAAGCTTCTAACAACGTATGTATATATCTCTAATAAGTCCTAAAGACTCCTAACGAACATTGCTGATATTTAATCACAGTTAAATGGTGTCGTCTATATAGTTATTTTTCGTCCATCAAAGATGACAGAAGATATATACATTCACTTACCTGTCAATTCTTTGCCTGAGTTTCAACAAGAGCTTCTCATTATCCTCATCTGCAACTTTGACAAGCCTTTCAAGCAACTTGTTTCTTTCTTGAAAACCAATATCATGTATATCAATTTCAGCAGATGCACCTTGTGATCCAAACAAGAGACCTTTTCTCAAACGATCAAACGTTGGAAGTTTTTCAAGAGCTGCCCATTTAAGAGCCTCTTCATCATCTTCGTCCCTCGTGGAACGATTAAAAATCTCCCCATCATTGCCACTCCACCTGGAGTTATTAGTACTATTCCTCTTTGAACTTAAGCTCCCTCTCAAACTACTTCCCCTGATTATTTTTTCTCTCAAACTAGTACCTCTTGAATTAGTTGGCTCCATTTTGAACCAAACAAAGTTAGTTAAGTTTAAAAGCTAAGGGATTATTATATAATAGCAAGAACAAAAAGGATGGGGGCATGCAATTGAATAGTATATGGTTTTAGAAAAACTAATTTTGCCCAAATTCTTTTAAATATACTTTTTCTAAAACTATTGACTAGTGCACACCTAAAGAGTAGCTAGCGGCCGGGGACTAAAAAAAAAGGACTATTTGTCATTAACAATTTGCTAGGTGTGTTCATAGATGCTTTCAGCAGCTATCCGCTCTGCACTTGGTTATTCAGCGTTTATCGTGGATACGATAACTGGTAATGTGTCCCTCCCACAATTGTACCCACATTCAAAGAAGGACCACAAGCTCGGAGCTCAACAAACAGAAAGTTTTAGCATGTTGAAAATGAGGTTAGCAGTGATATTTAATTTGGCAACTATATTCAAGCATAACACTATCAAGTATTTACTTTTTAAGAAAAATGTTTGTTTACCAATAGATCTTGATGGTAATAATTGTAATAAATAGTGATGAATAATTTAACGCAAAGTTATTTTTAACATGAAATTGAGTTTTTTACTTATATATCAAAATAAAGATTACAAATCAAATTAGAATGTCAAGGCAAAGTACTACTACAAGCCAAAAGTGTGTAACTAACTAACTATGATTTTTAGATTGGTATTTATCTAATCGATTTGGTCTGGATTTTTTCTATTACTTTTTGCTTAAAATTGAAATTTGTCCATTCTTTAAATTGAAAAATCAAACCAAACAAACCGGCCCTATGTGTCATATTAAACCAAAAAAAAAAAAAAAAAACCTAACCAAACCAAACAACGAAAAAAATGTCTCTCAATTGATTCGTTTTTGTTATTTGATTCGATTTTTCGATGTAACAACTCGACTTTATTGGTCATTCTGGTTATACTCCCTCTGTCCTTAATTACTTGTCCACTTTTGAATTGACACACCAATTAAGAAAACAATTAATGACATAGTGAGTTTACCATTTTACCCTATTAATTATGAAGTAGATGAAAAGTTTTACATTTTTCAAAGTAATTAATCATTTAATTGAGGGTATAACAGGTAAAAAAAAATTGTCCTTTCTTGATTTGTCAGAATGGACAAGTAATTAGGAACAACTATAAAAGGAAAAATGAACAAGTAATTAAGGACAGAGGGAGAAGGAGTATACTGTAGTATATCAGCATCCAAAACCATCAATTTTTTCCAGAATGACAGTACTAGGAAGTTGGAACAATAAATATTTTGCTACTGATCCTATATATTTATGTTGGGTCCAATCTATTTTATTTTATGTTATTTTTAGTTGTACTCTACATCATCTAGAGATTACAAAAGTCAGAATAAACTATTAAAAATCTAGTGGGAACTCTTCTAATATTTTTTCCTATCCACTTATAGACTCCTTACTCCTTAGTCGATCAGAAACGATTCAATAAAATTGATTATTTGAAGTCAAATTTTAATAAAAGATCTTAAACTCTGTATCGTAAAGAGTTAGGCATGTCCAACTCTTATTCATATTTTGAGGAGGTTAATTAGGCACTTAGTCCTGCCACCTCAAGTTGTATCTCTTTGCGTATTATTGATTTTATGTAAGATATTTCGTTAGTAATTTTAAAAATTCAAATATTTTTATTTGTTATGTATATTGATAAGAGTATTATCTTTTATTTATGTTGTTTTACTTTAATAAGATTATACAAATATCATGCCCCTAATTGATTACCACAATCATCTCTATTAAATGAAGGTGTACGTTTTGGCTATTTGTTTTCTTTAATAATGCTGTTAATAACCATTTAATTATTTTCCAACCCACAAAGTATTCTCTTATTATATAAGAGGGAGTTTATGATGGGACATTGTAATGTCCAATCATAAACTCCCTATATAATATATAATATATAATATAATAAATCATTTTTTCTACTATATAATATATATTTATTTTTCTACTATAAGGAAGTTTATATAATATATAATAATATAATATAATAAATCATTTACAAATGACTTAAAATATTTCATATTTAAAGGATATATAATAAAATAGGTTCAATCTCAAAATTCTATCCGGGTCACATATATTGGGACAGAAAAAATAACATATATCATTTTAAAATTATCAAAAAAGTATTATAAATAATAATAATTAACAACTTAAAATATCTTAAAGACATTTTAAAAGGGTTAATTTTGTAATTGTAATTTCTACTATATAATAAAAGGGATTTTATATAATATATATTCTACTATTATATAATATCATAATAAAACCCCTTTTATTATATAGTAGAAATAAATATAATATATATATATATATATATATATATATATATATATATATATATATAATATAATATAATAAATCATTTACAAATGACTTAAAATATTTAATATTTAAAAGATATATAATAAAATAGGTTGACTCTCAAAATTCTATCCGGGTCACATATATTGGAACAGAAAAAATAACATATATCATTTCAAAATAACCAAAAAAGTATTATAAATAATAATAATTAACAACTTAAAATATCTGAAAGACATTTTAAAAGGGTTAATTTTGTAAGTTTATCCATATTACATAAATTAGGACAAAGTGACCAGCAATGTAAGTTATTTGAAAGTTACATAAAAATATTATAAATCACAATAATTAATAACTTAGAACATTTTTTTTTTAAATGTAAATTTGGATGACTCTTCAAATTTCATTTGTGTCACATAAATTGAGACAACAAAAATAACATATATTGCGCCCATTTTAATTTATTTGTCTTAATTTTTTTTTATATTTAAAAATTGCGTAAAAATACTATAAATCATGATAATTGACAACATAAAATATTTCAAAAATAAATACATATAAAAAAATTTGATTAATTCTTGAAATTAATCTATCGTTAAAAATTATGTATAAAATACAATAAATCGTGATTTTGACCACTTAAAATATTTATTAAAAAAACAGAAAAAATAAATTGACTGATTCTTAAAATTAATCTATCAATGTCACATAAAATGAGACAAAAGTAGTAATATGTATTGTTTAATGTGAAATTATTGAAAACTACGTAAAATGTATTATAAATGTTAACAATTAACAACATTTGATTGAATCTTGAAATTTTATCAATGCTACATACATTGAGACAAGTGGAGTAATATATATTAAGTATTTAAAAATTACGTACAACCATATTGCTTTCTGTAGGCTTCGAATTATCGTGGTCATTTTTTAGGCTGATACAAGTTTTGTACTTTTTTTTTAATATTATAAATCGCAATATATATATATATAAAAGAGAACCTTAAGCCGCCAACGTGGCGCCACCACAAACTAGAATTTCCTTTCATTTTATTTATTTCCAAAACTAACCTTCCTCTTTCATGAAAAGTTGTGACATTTATAAAAAGTTGCGACTTTAATGAAGAGTTGCGACTTTTATGAAAAGTTGTGACTTCTATGAAAAGTTGTGACTTTTATGAAAAGGTGCGACTTTAATGAAGAGTTGCGACTTTTATGAAAAATTGTGACTTTTATGAAAAATTGTGACTTTTATGAAAGGTTGTGACCCTCCCGAAGGATTGCTACTTTTCCAAATAGTTGTTATCTTTCCGATAAGGCACAATAAACATTTGTTCAAACTACCATTTGTTGTCTATAAATATAGGGATTTCCTCCCATTTTAAAACAACAAAAATTTTGAACCTCTTCTTCTTCGCAATTAAATATTTGTGTACTTTGCTCCTGTTGAGTGGCTCGCTGACACCATTGCTTATGTTACAAATCCTGGTATGTATTTTTGCGGTCATTAATTTATGCTTATGTTATTAAGGATAAATGATAAGATGTAATAATTTTCATTTTCTTTTACATTATTAATGTTTTTACTACATAATCTTATATGTAAGACAATATAGTGTTTTAGTTTTAATGACGGATAGATTTTAAACATTATTTTATAAATTGCGTGATATTAAATTACCGCGCAAAGCGCGGGTAATTTTACTAGTAATTAATAATTTAAAATATTTTTAAAAATATATTAAAAATTTAGTTGGTTTCGGGAATTTTATTTATACTATATAAAATGGGACAAAGGAAGCAACATATATCATTTACAAATGACTTAAAAAGCATTAAAAATTAGAATAATTACCAATTTAAAATATTTAAAAGCTATATAATAAAATAGGTTCACTCTCAGAATTCTTTCAGGCTCACATATATTAGGACAGAAAAAATAACACATATCATTTTAAAATTACCAAAAAAGTATTATAAATAATAATAATTAACAACTTAAAATATCTGAAAGACATTTTAAAAGGGTTAATTTTGTATGTTTATCCATATCACATAAATTAGGACAAAGTGACCAGTAATGTTGGTTATTTGAAAGTTACATCAAAATATTATAAATCACATTAATTAATAACCTAAAACATTTTTTAAAAAAAAAATTAAAATTTGGATGACTCTCCAAATTTTATTTGTGTGACATAAATTGAAACAACAAAAATAACATATATTGGGTCCATTTTAATTTATTTGTCTTATTTTTTTTTGGGTTTTTTATATTTAAAAAATGAGTAAAAATATTATAAATCATGATAATTGACAACATAAAATATGTTTTGAAAAAAAATACAAAAAATTTCACTCATTCTTTAAGTGAATCTACCATAAAAATACTATAAATCATGATAATTGACAACATAAAATATTTCAAAAATGTTGTATGTGGATAGTCTTATTGTGCCTTGAATAGCGTCAAATAAAGTACAAGTTTGTGATAAAAAAACTTATTCCTTTATCCACACAAACAATCGCTTCAAAATCTCCGTTATTAGCCCCAAAACATACCATTTATATTATTGGGCTATGCACGGGCAACATTACCTAGTTGTCCTTAAACGGCAACTTTTTGCCAAAAAAAAAAGATTTTTATCATTGATGTATTATTTGGATACTTATCAATTATATTAATACTGGTTTAGTATAAGTGTATTACACGTATATACTTACTTAAAAGTTATAAATCATAAATTTATTGAAATAAAATGTGGACCTTTTATGCCATATTTTAGGTCATGTTATTAGATCAATAATATTTTTGCTAAATAAGCAACAATGATAAAAATTAAAAATAGGATAGAAATTAAAACTATGACCACCCTAAAATAGAGACAATCCATACAAAAAAAAAATCATATGTATCACTACTTGTAAAAAATTAGGCCTCTAAAATTTTGAGGCCTAAAACATTTGATTTATAGATATACAATTAATATATCATATATCTCCACCTTCCCTAATCTATTACTATATGTACTTACTCTATTGACTTTATGTTCGATGAACTTTTTCTTTTTGTGTTTGAAGTCATTTCGCTGGCGGGGTTAGGCCAGACCCCTACCTTATATGTTAATAATTATAACTAGAACCAAAATATAAATTACACGATAAAAATATGTAGTCTAACATTTTCAAAAGATATTAATCACTATGTTCATTTTTACTTGTTTACTATTGACTTAGCACTTTTTTTAAGAAATAATAAATAGAATGTCAATTTTACTATTTTATATATAATAAATTCAATGTTCTAATAAGTAATTATATTTAATATTCTTAAACTATAAATTATAAGTTAAATTTTTTAAATGGAACAAATAATAAGTATATCTATTTTTTAACAGTTGACATATAAAAGCGAACAGAGAAAATAATTTGTGGTACTAAAAATGCTCAATTGTCAATGCCCTATATACCTAGATGATGATGGAAGGTTCTTTTGGCTAATACAAATTAAACTTGGTAACTACAAAAAAAGTACATTAGCATTTACTCAATTTTTGGGATTGTTTCTTAGGTCTAATCCCACAAATTGACATTTTTCATTTTGTCCAGGTTCAAAACCCCAAGAATTGTCTTGTCAATTTTTCAAAGTTAACCTGAATAAAATGGCACAAGTAAATATTTCACTTTTGACAAATTTTTGGGCCATATTTGTCACCCTAGCGGACGATAACAAGTTGTCAAGTGGAATATTTACCCCATGCACATTCAAATAATATCATATTTGGAGCGAAGATGATTTAATTGGATAAAAAACAGGAATTAAGACGTTAGTATATCAAAACAAGTTTAAAATGTTGACAAATACCCAAGAAGTTCTTGATTACACAAGGAAAATTATTCAGAGGCGTATCTAAAGGAGGTCACCGGGTTCACGTGAATTCATGGTCCCCTCCCGAGATCATATATAGTAGTATTATATTTTTAAAAAAATATTGAAATATAGATGTGTGAACCCTCACTTGAAGTATCACATAATGCGATTATAACTGGGTGCACCTCTCTTCGCGAGGTTAGAAATTTGAATTTTATATTTATCTTGTTTTATTTTTCTTTCTAAAATTATGTAACACTTCTCTAAGTAGTAATTGGTATATATATTTTTCGATACTAAAAACCTAAATGTCGAACCGATCAAATTTATATCATAGATCAACCTTTTTATAACAGTGCACCCATCATTTCAAAATCGTGGATACGCTCTTTAAATACTAGTTTAAAACTATTACAAGATAGAGGGGTAGAACCAGGAGAGTTGGGGCCAACAATCAAATGTCAGTATCAAGACAAGTTTGGAATGTTAACAAACTCCAAAGAAGCTAGATGATCTGAAGTAAAATACCAGTTTAAAACTATTACAAGATAGAGGGTTATTAGACCCAAGAGAGGGGCGGACAATCAAAAGTCTGTATCAAGACAAGTTTGGAGTATTAGCTGAGACACCACAAAAGCTCTCGAGAGTTGCAACAACGCCGCGTTTACCCTCTGACATATAAAATGGAAGATATTTGGAACCATCAAAGGGCTTGTAAAGCAAATGGTGATCTTCATCAACAACTTCCTCTGGTGCTTTTATGATATACCCTTCTTTAGGAATTTTGGTAAAACCCATAGAAAACCTCTCTTCATTTCCCATAATAACTCTATGAGTAGAAGAATGCAGCCTACCATTTGTAAATGCCTACAATTACATATTAATTTAAGTTATATATACAAACAATATAAAAAAAAAAGAATTTTAATTTACACTATCAATAGTGTAAAAATATTACATGTTATAAGTGCATAAAACATAACGTTATGTATTAAATAAGAGTTTAAGTTATATAGATTGACAGTATATATAAACAATTTTTCACCATTAGGTCATCTTTATCAGTTGCACTAGCTAGCAGCTAGCATATCTTATTTTTAAGATTTCAAATCTACAGATATATATCCTTTGGATGACCTGATGATGAAAATTGTTTACATTGTTTATGTGTAAGACTTAAACTCAGTAAACAATTAGTCCCCAAAAAAATTAACTTGGCTACTACTACGCTACCGTCCCAAAAAACATCAAAGAAAAAAATTCACGAAAAACATTTTCCTTCCTAATCAAGCATATCCTAAGAAGGGGGGAAAGGGAGAATAAACTCAATCTCTTTTCAAGTGTATCGTTAACGGCCTCTATTCTTGACGTGAATGACCAACTAAATAAACTTGATAAAAATAGTAAGGCAATAGATGAACTTACTTTCAAACAATCACCAACAAAGAACATGTATGAATGAGGTGATGAGTATTGAAGATCAAGCCATTGTCCATTTTTGTCCAAAATTTGAAGCCCATTAACATGTTGATCATGTTGGCTTAAAATTGTTGAAATGATTTTATCAGTATGAGGAGGTACTCCAACATTTGTCTCCTCAGCTTTAGGCACTTTGTACTTCATACAATTAAGTAAGTAATCACCTGATTTTTTGTGCTCATCCAAGTATTTTTCCAACCCCAATTTCTCAAATACCATTATTCTTACCATATCATCAAATTCTAATAATTTCTTGGAGTAACCAAGCACCAAATCACTGCATAGATTTTGATAATAATGAGTAATTGCGACTTTACAAGCTTGATGAATGTAGAGTATATTCAGAAGGATAGCATGATTAGTAAATGTCGAAAAATGATCTGATGTCAAGAAGCAAAAAATAATGCAAGATAGAGAATGGACACCTTAATTTATCAATCCATATTTAACATGACTATGGGTGTCAAAATTAGCACATTAAAATTGTGAAGAATTTAACGTAACTCATCAATATAAGTATGTGATGGATTATTACTTAATAATTGGTTAAATTTATGAAAATTCACAAGCACAAGGATCAAAAGTTCACATATCAACTAGTTGAGGTTTAAATGTGCATAACACGAAATTACAATGAAAAAAATTACAACTTATCAATATTTGAGGTACTAATAGTGCAAAATTTATTTTAAAATGAGAACTCAAAAAGTGTAAATTATTTAACTATGCAAAATTGACTACTTTTTTGTCCTCTCTTAACAGGTGAATTAATGGTGAAATTTCCCCTTAGATCTACCCTTAACTGGCAAATGGTAGATTGATTAGCTACAAGAAATTTAACAAAAGATTAACAACGAAGTTCATAGCTAATGTTAGTTATACATACCAGAATTGAGGGTCTCCCTTAGGCCAAAGGATGTAGGAGAAGTTCTCAATTGCATTATGAGTGAGGACATTGCCAATCATCATTCTCTCTTGAAGTGGTGTTCTAGGATTATCTCTAGTATAACCTACCAACACATTTTGTGATTTTCCAAATTTTTCCTCCAAATTGAAATTAAAAACTTGTTTCAACTTTTCATATAGTTTTTCTTTTGGAATTTCTCCATCAAGTATAGCCTCAAAACAACCATATTTTTCTAAACCTTTGAAAACTTCATCTCTCACTAAATTCCATTTTTCACTTCCTTTTTTCCACTCTGATGAGTTCCTAAAATCTATAGTTGGAACCTTCAAATCCATCCTCTTTTCTTTTTTTCTAAAATCACTTTGTTGTTTACTTGTTTATGTGGTTGTTGTGTCTTTTGTTTGTATATATACACAGAATAATAATTTTTTAAATTATCATCACATGATCTGTGTGAAATTATAATTAAATATTACTGAATTATTGTCAACTTGAGTTAATTATTGCATTCAATATTTAAGTTTCTTTATTAATTATTGTTAATGCTATGTTGAATTGTGTAATTATGCATTCTAAATACCTTTAAATAAAATCATGTGCATTAAATGTAAATTTCCCTATAAAAATATGCTTTGACTATAATTACTTCTTTTGAGTTCATTAAAAGTGTTTAAAATTAAAATTAATGGTCAAAAATACATTTGAAAAGTATTATTATTTCTTTGCGAGTTATCTATTTGGACTATTATCAAAATAATAAATACCCCTCAAGTCTGATTAGACAAAATATTTAAATATAATCGTCTAAAGGCGCATGACAACTTAATTTGCCTATAAAGTTTTGTTGACACATTCACATTCATCGATCCATTCATGGTATATGTTGATAGTGTGACTCTCGTACAAAATGGACAATTGAAGACCGTTTCGAGCATTGTTATCAAGAATTCGATTCGAGATTAAATTTGTATTGTTACTTATTTCATGTGTGGGATTTATATAATATATTTTCAATATTAAAGGAAAATATTACATTTTAATTTATTGAAAGATAACTGTTCTTAGTTTTATATAATAAGGACTAAAAATTAGAAATTATCGATTTAGATGCTCATCGCCTTCTTGCTAAAACTATGTTCATTTTTCATGAATTTGTCAATATTATTGAATGCAACCACCTCCATGAACACAACAACAACATACCTAGTATAGTCCCACAAAGTGGAGTCTGGAGAGGATGGGGTGTAGGTAGAAAGATTGTTTGTCTTTCTGATAGACCCTCAGCTCAAGAAAATCGTTTTCTAGAACAGGTTTAAAATAAATGAAAGGGAAACCACCTTCATATGAAGATTACATACAATTTCAAATTGTGTGACTCTCATTTTCAAAGGGATACACAAAGATTAACAATTTGTCAAGTCACTTGCAAAATGAACCTAACTTCAAAATAGCTCTAACAAAAATACAATAAAACAAATGACAAAATGTACCATGAATTACTTCTTCTTGCCTGCTTTACCTTCTTTCCTTCTAACTATTTCATCAGCATATTTCACTCCTTTACCTTTGTATGGCTCTGGAGGTCTCCATTTTCTAATTGAAGCTGCAAATTGACCGATCTCTGACTTATCATAACCACTTACAGTGATTCTCGTGTTTTCTTCAACCTTAACTTGCAGTCCAGCAGGAATTTCCATCCTAACGGGATGAGAAAATCCGAGATTGAGAACTATGTCTTTCCCTTCGATGGTTGCACGATATCCAACGCCTACCAATTGAAGTTTCTTCTCGAATCCTTTAGAGACGCCGACTACCATGTTATCAGTTAGAGTCCTGCCGAGTTTGATGAAGAAAAAGAACATCTTCAGAGTAAACACTAAAAGTATGTGCATCTACATTGTCATTAGAATTGACTAACATAATAACAATGATGAGATTATGAAAATTTTCATATACAGTTGTTAGGTATTGGCGGAATGTTCGATAGAGCTGATGGTGTAAGACACATATTATGGCTTTCAAAGTTGAGAGGAAATCATTTGGGGTGCAGAATCATACCCTTTAATCACAAAATTCTGTAAAACTGATGATCATCATCAGGGAGACGAGAGTCGTGTAAATGAAAATTCCAAGTTGAAAATCACGTCTAATTGTTGAAATCATGGATATTCTTCTAGCTTAAGGCGTGTGTATGACACTTTCTGTAAGGATATTTACTCATATAAGTGTATCTCCTGGGATTCAACAAGCTCATCTAGTATTAACTAATACCAAAAACCACATGATTCATGGCTAGTATACCTAAACTAGTTCTTTATTAAAGCTCCTAAAACTCTACAACGACTAGTTAACGGCTAGTTTGACCATTTAAAGTAAGGGCAAAACAATAAACTACAAGTGGATAAAAACAAGGGACACTTCCTTGTGAGATACTTACAAATTATCAACAATCCCACGCACATCTCAAAAAGAATATCTATAAAATGAAGAAAGAAAACATATTTTGATATTTTGCTGGGTTTTGAGTATAATGGATTCATTTGGTATCTTTTGGATTACGAACCAAATACAGATGATATAAGATTTAACTTACAGCATAATTGGCAAAGTTGATTACTTTTATGAACCAAAAATTCTAGTTGTAAGCTAAGTTTCTTATTCATCACATTATACTCCCACAATTTCTATGGTTTATTGCAATTTTGCACTAATGTCTGATTATTCGTGAATGCTTTAGAATTTTGCCGTAATTTCATAAGAGCAGCCACACTCCACACTTGTATAGGTTCAATCATCAAGTGTGTGTTGCAGTGTAATACACCACGTAGAAAGGATATGAATAAGATTAAGAGTTTTACTCAACCTCACTATTGTGAGTATCTCAAAAGGAAGTGTCCCTTATTTTTTATCAGATTATTTATTATCTTCCCTAAGTTAAACTAGTCGTTAACTAGCCGTTGAAGAGTTTAAGGAGTTTTAATATGAAAGAACCAATTGAAGTACGTGGCTATAACTCAAAAACATAGATTTCTAATTCTTTCTACTTTCTCTTCATTCTTTTAAAGTTGGGTTTTTCCTCTTCAAATCTGCTGTTTACATTGAAAACTTTAAACCATACCCATTTTTTCCATTTTCCCCTCGACCAAAGTGTAGTATATGCACTTGTGGTTTTTGAGACTTGCAAATGGCCTATTAGCCTCCAATTATTATAAATCTTTCTCACCACCCCCATATTGTGATACCTTTTAGCCTAGAAACACTACGACGAGCACAGATATCTGTCCTTTGCTAGCAAGTCCTAGCTATTCTTACGTCTATATTCCCTCTTCTGCCCAATTTTTCACTTCTCATGACCTTAGAATCATTAATGCTGTCATGGAACTGAAGATATGCTACATTTGAACTTTGTTGCCAGTCAATCTTCTCATAGTGAGAAAGATTGTTTCTTTAACATGTTAAGACTGAGAAATATGAAGTATTGTTTTCTATGTTGCTCGGACTCTTCAAAAATGCTTCCCGGTGCAGGTCAGACCCTCCAAAAGTAGTGAACTTTTGAGGATCCAACACAAGTGCGACAACATTTTTGGTGATTCCGAGCAACATACTTCTTTTGCTACTTACAGTGACTGATGTCCACATTTTCGAGTCTCCTCATAGAAAAAGAACCATTCCATTATATCAATTTATGAAGTAATTATCGGCAAGAGGCTATAGCATGTAATATATATATCAATAGTTAAGATCAAATAAGTAAAGTTTAGAACCACAAAGAGGTTAACTATTTTGAAACTTAGAAGTGCTAATAAGTATAGAAAACTTCAAGGTGGTAAGAATAGACTGTCCTTCTTTACCTTATTAAGAGGAAAACATTATTCTTTCCTCTTCATTGACAACTAGGATAAAATCAATTAGGACTTGGACTGGGAAACATCTCAATTTGGTTTTAAAATATGATATCATATAATTGGAGAAGATCAATCAGACCCTTTATATCTCAATTTTTATGTCATAACAACTAAGCTCTCCCTAGTCCACATCAAAACCAGTCGTGAATTTCAAAGTAGCTACTCCAGTAAGTAGACTATAGCTTCTTGATCATAAGTAGTAGTAATAGGTAAATTATAACTTGGATTGTTTACCATATGTAAGAATAACAAAACTGAGAAAAGAAGTCAAGAAAACAGCACGATTAAACTGCAGACTACCTGAATAAACCATGCATCTGATTAGCGCGTCTTGTCTCCACGGCTTTTCTGACCCTTAGAATACCTCCATCTTCCTTCTCAAGCTTTACTTCTCGTGGATAAGTTATGGCCATCTCCCCCAGAGGTCCCTTAACTTTCAAATCTTGGCCTTCCATTGTGAGTGTCACATTGGAAGGTACTGATATTGGTTGCTTACCGATTCTTGATTCTTTACATTCGATCGTCTTACTCAAAAAACCAACACGACGAACAGCAACACTTGATACACGAAACCCATTCAAATTCCCGACGAAAGGAGACTGCAAAGTGCTGACATGAAATAAAACAAGAATAAAAGATATGTTTTTACAAGAAAGCCAACACCAATAACAGCCACACTCAAGATATGAATCCCATTCAAACCTCCCGATAAATGGAGACCTTAAATAGATAAAACAAGATCCAAGTTCTTATTTTTACAAGAAAACAAGCTAAACCCCGGCGCCCCCTCCACTGGCTAAAGCTTTACTCTTTAAATAAGGATACCCCAGAAGCTAAAAGACACAAAATTGCATAAAATTGACACAAACTGACCAAGAAACTACAAATGCACAATACCCAATTTCAACAATTCAAGAATAAACATGAAAATGTAAAAATCAACAAGCTAAATGCACCTAATATGTGAAGGGGAGCAGAACAATTAAGTTCCTTACCCTCAACACATAAAAGCTACAAACTTTATTGTATAATAAGGAAACCCCACAAGCTAAAAGACACAAAATTGCATAAATTGAGCAAGAAACTACAAATGCACAATACCCAAATTCAACAAATCAAGAATCAACATGAAAATGTAAAAATCAAACAAGCTAAATGCACCTAATACGTGAAGGGGAGCAGAACAATTAAGTTCCTTACCCTCAACACACAAAAGCTACAAACTTTATTGTATAATAAGGAAACCCCACAAGCTAAAAGACACAAAATTGCTTAAATTGAGCAAGAAACTACAAATGCACAATACCCAATTTCAACAATTCAAGAATCAACATGAAAATGTAAAATTCAACAAGCTAAATGCACCTAATATGTGAAGGGGAGCAGAATAATTAAGTTCCTTACCCTCAACACACAAAAGCTACAAACTTTATTGTATAATAAGGAAACCCCACAAGCTAAAAGACACAAAATTGCTTAAATTGAGCAAGAAACTACAAATGCACAATACCCAATTTCAACAATTCAAGAATCAACATGAAAATGTAAAACTCAACAAGCTGAATGCACCCAGTATGTGAAGGGGAGCAGAACAATTAAGTTCCTTACCCTCAACACACAAAATCTACAAACGTTATTGTATTATAAGGAAACCCCAGAAGCTAAAAAGACATAAAATTGCATAAAATTGACAAAGAAACTACAAATGTGCAAATACCCAATTTCAGCAATTCAAGAATAAACATGAAAATGTAAAAAGCAACAAGCTTTATAGTGTTAACAACAGAATCAAGAAACTAAATTTACCTGGTATGTAAAGAAGCTGTGAGTGAAGAGCTACTCATTTTTGAATTTTGCCTGCAAGTTACAAGACTGTCTCCCCTAAGAGCTGAACTATCTTGTTTAGTGGATGGATAGAGCCCTTTTTGCCTTGCACATTAAAGCGTATTGACAATTTCACCCCTTATCCTATTTCAACTAAATGACAACTTCCCCCCTCTATGTTACAAAGTTTCTCTTTTGCCCCCTATTGATTTAGCTAAAAAAAAAAAAAATTATACGATTTGAGTCAAAGTTACTGAATCTTAATGAAGTCATAAGATGTATGTTAGATCCGTAGGTAGATTTTTGTCCATCTCATATTACGTGAATTATTTATGGAGTTGAAAATATACTCTCTTCGTTCCAAAATAAGTGTCATCTCAACAAAAATTGTGTTCACAAAACAGAATATTGAAAAATTGAAACATTCCTTTAGAATTTGAATTCTTGATTATCCCAAATATTTTTAATGGAGTTGGTGATCAATGATGCAATCATTTTTCTACTACTAAACTATCTTCTCTTTCTTTTTTCTTTTTTTATGATATTGGTGTTTTCCATGCTTGGTTAAATGATACAGCACGATAAAAAATGATGGGTTAGACGTGCATTACTAATTTAAATTTTGCTTAAAAAAATTAATGAAGTTGAGAATGATACCTTATTATTACACTTTAGACATTTACACTATATATATATATTGTAAATAATGTTCATCATTCTTTGATGTATGCTACAAATAAAGATATATTTAGAATAAAGAAAGACCATGATAGTAAATATTTAAAAAAAGACTAGACAGACATTAATTATTGTATATATAAGTAGCTCAGCTACTATATCTCACATAATATAATTAATCAGAACAATCATGAAAGTATATAATGGCATCTCTATATTGGCTTGTTAACTACAGATTCACGTAAACATAGTAAATTATATTCAAGCCATATATATGTATTAAGAAAAATATATGAGTGTGGACTATAATATATTAATTTGAGATTGTTGTATGAGGCCATAAACTTCGAATTCTGAATGCACATCTAACGGCAAGTGTTGAGATGACGGTGACCACACGTTTCCCGGCGAGTTTGCGGCGGTGCCGGCGCCACCGGACATGGATGAGAATTGTGGCATCTTCATGTGGACTAGCTCAGCTTGTGCAATTGCTAATTGTTTGTGTAGAAATTCAATTTGGTGTTGTAAAGATGAAATAGTTCCAACACAACCATAAATTGGATCTTTCATTCTTGCATTTGCCTCATACACCATTGAACTCACTGCATCTCCTCGTTGATATTCTTGCAATTCCTATTGAAATATATCAAAATATATCCACTTTAACCAACTGTATATACAAGACTTCACGTTGCTTTCGGCTCGAACTATATATATAATTAAAAATAATATATATTACTTTATTTAATTTGTTTCTATTTATGTGATATATACGCCCATTTCAAAAAGAATTACATCCTGGTCTATTTCAATTTATGTGACTGTGTTTTGATTCGGCACGACGTTTAAGAGAGAAAGAAAGATTTTTAAAAATGTGGTCTAAAACAAGCCATAAAATGAAAATACGATACATGTAATGGGATGCAAATGGATTACATATTTCTAAATTTGAAGATAATTAACTTTACACGTCATATTTTACCCTTAATGAGTTTTTTTTTTTTTGTAATAATACAAATATTACGGCATTTTTAAGGCCACAAGTTTTAAAAGTTGTATAGATAGACACACAAAATGTCATGATATGTTTAAGATCATAAATTTCAAATTCTTCTTTTATACCAATTTAAACTATGTCACATAAATTTAAACGAATTATTGGCAAACTCATAAATAAAAATTGTTCTTACCTGAAGCATCTTGTTTACATTGCTAGCTCCAAATACTTTATGAACACTTGCAAACTTGTGTGGTTCATCACCTGGAAAATAAGGTGAAAAAACACAATCTTGTGTACATCTTCTCCTTAACAACTTACAAGCTGCACATGGAGAAGTTGCACCTTGTTTTCTACCACCACTCTCCTTCATACTACAAAACTCGTAAAATTTTGTGGACGGAATCACTCGATATACTTATGTGGATAAAAAATAATATTTATATTATTGATAAAATAGTCGATATGTGCACATGTAAACAAGTCTAAGCACCACTTTAATCTAAAAAAAGTTTGTTGAAATTTTAACTTCAGGTACACAAAAATTTCAATTAAGACAACTCGATACACTAAATTCCCGCTATACTAACTTGAAATGTGAAAGGGAAAGAAGGAAAAATTGGTTAAAGGGAGTGAGGGAGATTAGGAGCTAAATGTTATATAGGGAAAAAGTGGCTACCAGAAAATCTTTTGTAGGGCCAATTAAGGAAAACCTTTAGATATCGATTAACAAAAACATCTATTTCAAGTAGATCTTTTGTCCCTTTACTATAGTATTGTTGGGATTTGCTTACCATTAAAATATTTATTCATTCTTCTTTTGATTAATTAAAGGATAACCATCAATCAAATGAAATGAGGTAGAATTATTGATCTCGAAAATTTCATAAACTCTATAGAATATTTTAAAAAAATAAAAACAATTAGCATTGTCGAAGTGATCAAGAGATGATCTTCTTTTCGAAGTTTCGGCAGAAGCTTCTTGACAATCAAATACTTTAAGAAAATTTATGTCATCATTTGCTTGAATCATACAACACTTTGGCTATCAATGAAGAAACAAGAAGGAGAGATCAAGAAAAGTTGATCGATTTGAAGTACTATCAGACTTTTTTAGAGATCAGATAAAATTCAGGGAGATCTAAATTATCCTATATTAGAAAAATACATTGCTCGAGCCCTCAAATCAAGGAACAATCCAAAAAGAAAATTCAGGGAAAACATAATTGTCCTATTGTTTATTACTAGCTTCCTCTGTTTCATATTACTTGATCCCTGTTAACTTGACACGCTGTAAGAATACTTTAATTAGAAATGTATTTTATTAAACTAACCTTATTAACAGTGTAAAATAAAACAAAGAAGTAATAAAATCTTACAGTGTCGAGTAAAATAAAACAGACGAGTAATAAAATCTTTTTTCCCAACCAAAAAAGGGAACATTTATTGCATCTTGAGTAGTTGAAAATTTACTAGTAAATGTCTTCGACATATCAAATTTAATTTGTCAATCAAACTAGTGGATTTGTTAAAGATTTTTTATGTATATTTTTTTCAAATTATTATGACTTAGAAAAGTTTGGCTTGTGCAATAATATAATGAAGTGACTTTAGAAATTCGAAACCATTAACTAGCACGTTCATCGACAATCAAGTAGAATAAAGATTTGATTCATGTGAAAGCTAAATTAATATATACCATTAACTAAGATATTTGCATGCACGTCACTTTGAGAGTGACTCTATATTCACGAATACTTCGTGCATTGAATCGTCCTTTAATTTGTCACGTCTTATTATTTGGAGCTAGCTTATGAAATTAAAAGTTAATGTTCATGACGTAGAAAAAAAAACACGAATTAGTCAAGGAAAGAAAAATATCAATTCAATGAATCATCTCATAATCTTGGAAAATCTAACAAAATTAAGGCTTGTCTATTAATCTATTTAATTCCCTTGTTGCTTTCACTTACTAAATGAGAATTGTAAACGTTGAAAATATAAATATGTTGATATTGACAAATTAACTTTACAAAGATATATCGACATCAAATAACAATTCATTTAAACTATATATATGGCTCGAAAACTATTTCAAAGGATAGAGATCACATTATCATCAAGTAGACGAAACATTTATTATGTATATATATATATATATATATATAACATACTTACCTGAATAATGTAAAATGTCATTACAACATTTGCGTATACAAATTAAGCCTTATAATCTTATAGTACATGCTTAGAATACACACCACCCTCCATCGACTTCAGTTCTGAAATCGCAATAAAGATAGTGTTGTTGTTGCTTAAAACATCCATTAAAATTCCTAGAGATTGGATTGGCTACTTTCTCTTTATGTCAAGTCATTGATACTGTTTATATACAAGTTAAAAATTATTATTTTAATGATTTACATCAGTATATAATCCAATCTACGAACATGCAAACGTTTTTTTTTTACATTACTATATATTAGAAGAGTCTAGGATTTACTACCATTGTTCCAATTAAATCATTACAAGTGTCCAATACTTACTATATAAAATATATAAGTGGGCCCCACCTCCTTCCACTTAAATAATATTTTTCAACCTTATCATGGTAAAAGTTGAATTTATTATCCTTTTCATTTAATTTTATATGATATTATTTTTTCTATAAAATCATTATATATGTTTTAATAATTTAAATTTCAAAAACATTATAATTTAACTTTAAAGATTTTATTTTATCAAAATCTTGTACATTGAAATATATAGTTATGAATTTAAAATATTTTTAAAATCATATAAAAATTTCAATAACCTCTCAAATTCCATAATATAACACTTAAATACTAAATATTATATATTAATTACTATAGTATAAATGACTTAAATACTCCATATTATCTATTACAATAATTAACAATTATTTGACACTTTAAATTCTATCAATGCCATATAAATTAGGATAAAAAACCTAACATATAATATTTAAATATATTTAAAAATACTATAAGTAATACTATACATTACAATAATTAACAGCTTAATTATTTAAAACTTATATACAAAATTTAATTGACTCTCTAAATTATATTGGTACCACATAAAATGGATTATATGATAAACATATATTGTTTGAAATTGACGAAAAAGAAACAATAAATTACAATAATTAATAAAAAAATAGTCCACTCCAAAAAATCTATCAATTAACAACATATATTGTTTGAAATTGACGAAAAAGAAATTATAAATTACAATAATTAACAAAATAAATCTCTCGACTCCAACAAATCTATCAATTAATGCCACATAAATTGGGACATGGCAAATAACATATAGTATTAAAAAATTAGGTTCAAAATGTACTAAAAAATACAATAATTAACAACTTAATATATTAAAGAGACATAAAAAAGGGTTAATATTTAAAATTCTGCATGTGCCACATAAATTAGAACAAATAGAGTAATAAATATTACTTTCAAAATTATGTTTAAAAAAGTACTACAAATCACAATAGCTAACAATTTAAAATATTTTTAAAATCATATAAATATTTCAATAACTTCTCAAATTCCATAATATGACATAAATTTTAAAAAAAAAGTGTTATAAATCATAATAAATAGTACAATATTTAAACTACTTTAAAAGCATTATAAATTGTAATAAATAATACAGCAATTTAAATTACTTAAAATTTAACGACTTAAAAATATTTTTTAAAATGTATTAAAATTTTGGTTAATTGTCAAAACTTTACATGTGCCACATAAATTGGGACATGGAGAGTCACACATATTTTTTTAAAAAAATTACATTAAAAGTATTCTATCAATTAACAACATATATTGTTTGAAATTGACGGAAAAAAACTATAAATTACAATAATTAACAAAATAAATCTCTCGACTCCAACAAATCTATCAATTAATGCCACATAAATTGGGACATGGCAAATAACATATATTATTAAAAAATTAGGTTCAAAATGTACAATAAAATACAATAATTAACAACTTAATATATTAAAGAGACATATAAAAAATGCTTAATATTTGAAATTCTGCGTGTGCCACATAAATTAGAACAAACAGAGTAATAAATATTTTTTTCAAAATTATGTTAAAAAAAAGTACTACAAATCACAATAGCTAAAAATTTAAAATATTTTTAAAATCATATAAAAATTTCAATAACTTCTCAAATTCCATAATATGACATAAATTAAAATAAAATATATATATATATATATTGGCACGGGGTCCTATATCTAGTATAAGTACAAAAGGTGTCATATGATAATGAATTATTGTCCTTTTCTGTTAAAACACTTTCAACGGATCTATAATTGATATTTTTTTCTTAAAAAAAATTAAGATTTGAAGTTTATAATTTTTAAAGTCTATTTATTTTTATATATATATTATTACGAGTTCTTTTATTAAAAAACTTTTTAAATTTTTTTTATGTCCAATCAAACACGTAAGATTTACTAAAACAGGTCGAGTACGTGGGGAGAAACCTTGATAGCCATAATTCTTGTTATGAAGTGAAACTATGACCTTTTTCTTTTAAAAGAAAAAACACATAAAACATTTGTTGATATTATAATTTTCACCTCAAATTCATCTATTCATGCCATCAAAATCCCACTCCGCATCCGCCCCACCCCATTGCCATCCAAAAAAATTCAAATGAAAATTTTGAATTTCTTTTCTTAAAAAGATGTATGATCCATCAATGTTTCTTATTGGATTGAAGGTCAACAATATGTGGCCCAATTGATGTTAGAGCCTAAGCCCAATATGGAGTGAGCCCATATTTGCAAAGTGGTAGACTGGTAGTAATTGAGAAAACATTTCCTTGTGACTTTTCTTTTTAAAAATAAAAATAAATCACTAACACGTTAGGGTGGAATGGTCGAAATATCTTTTCTCCTAATTAGAAATTTCAGATTTGAGCTTCGGAAATGAAGAACCTTTTAGTAAGGAGTGTTTTTATCCTCTTAATAACAGCCCAATCCCATGCGCAGAGACAGAACAATAATTTGAAGTTCATGATTTTCTAAACCTCTCATCGAAGCTATAGCTCATTTAGTCAATTTAGTTATGAATTTTTCTAACACATGTACACGTACTAAGCACATAAGCATTGAATTCGTCTTAATCCGTAAACTAACAAGGTAGCTTCATCTTTGTCAATACGAATTTGGATTAGTCAGATCAACAGGCTTTCGAATATCAATACTTAGAAAAATAACATGTTTTCTAATTTTATGTCCTTTATTTATCAGTGTAAAGAGATTTTTAAAAAATTTGAAATATTGTTGGATGCCTTTGCTAAGAAGTTTTGTATGGTTCAGAAAGTAGTAGCATCAAGTTCTCTCTATCTTTAAAGGAGTAGTACCTATTTACTCTAAAGGTAAAGTAGGTCCCCACATTAAATATTTGGACCCCCCCTACCCCTAGTCCTACCCCCCCCCCCCCCCCCACGTCAAGAAAATATGTTAAGATTGACATTCTGGTTCTGTGGTAACTAACCAAAAAGACCAGAAATAGTTTGAAACTAGAAAAATTTTGTCCGAGTCGTTTAGTGTGAGATATAAAGTATAATAATTTCAGGATAAAATGTAGGATTTTTTTATGCCACGTTTGGTTGAAAGTATTAGGTAGTCCTTAGATTATTTATTCAACCTTTTTTTTTTGTCATAGTGATGAAATAAGTTATTCTATATACATGATGAAATAATTTACCTGAAATTAGTTATCTTCAGATAACTTGTTCGGAACCAAACAAGCCGTTAAGGTTAAAGATTGTCGTGGGGATGAGATCATCCATGACATGGTTCTCACTTCTAACAATTTTGGACCACTTTCCACTATGTTCTATATTGGATCCAAGAATGTTTTATTGCATACCATAACTCCAACTAATATGTGCATAGTCTTTACTTTTAACGTTATTTTACTTATTCTGTGAATCAGAAGCGAGACATGAGTCATGACTACCCTTCTTCTTGGATTCAAGACCTACTTTGCGGGCCAATTCGTACCTACGATATTATTAGGTGGAGAGTTTGGCTGAGGCAGCACAACTATCTTGAAGACTTTTGTTTAAAGGGTAGTTGTACAATCAAAGATAATTAGTTTTTTTTTTTCCTCTTTTCGAAGTAGCTATCGCAATAACTTTTAAATATTATTTTTTCAACTTAACTAATTGATGTCCAAAAACCTATTAATGTCTTGTTTCTTATATAAACTTTTATGTGTTCAAGAACTACATCAACTAAGTTCTTAGACTTTATCTAACTTCTTACCTTCTTCAATGCATAAGCTGAATTAATTGGAAAATAGATATTTGGAATATGTCACTTTCTTTGAAAAGAAAGGTGACACCACAATTAATACTTTACATATTAGCATGCCTTAGGCAATTATGAACATTAGCTAACATGCAACAACCCCTTCTGAATACTTTTCAAAACTTGATATTTTCCTTTAAACATATTAATGATAGGCAGTATCATCACTCAATTAATAGCATGGACACACTAAAAATGAGAAGAAGAAAAAAAAAGCGCTTGAATACATATCAATCATTTTAAGTCCACCATCGATAGCTGAAAAGAAAAAGAAGCTAAATTGGATGAAACGGTACTAGTAATGGTATGAGGCCTTTTGGAAAAAAATTGTGCGTATAGTACAATATTACACCATGTTAAAAGTATCGTTGTGATGTTTTAGCCCAATACTTCCTTTTATCTAAAAAAAGAAAAGAGTTATTTGGACTTTTGAATGGCAACACACACATTTACACAACATAATAAAAGGACCTAACCACTTAGGCTCATACTAAAGTAGTCCACAAAAGCAGCTGATAAAGTCCTAACATTCTATTCCTTTCACAGAACATAATGGACAATGGAAATTTTATGTACAGTTTAGGTTATAATGTTACATCAGATGAATCTGAATCTATCTTTTTTACACACCAAAATATGGCAACCCATTCTCTTCTTTTTCAAGTGCCAAAAAGAATCCACCTATCTGCTTTGCTATTTCCATTGTCAATCCTTTTCATCATTAGAATGTGCACAGCATTGCCCTACCTTATCATTTTGAATATGGTCTTCTATTCATGCGAGCAAATACACTTTGAACGCGTTTCCGATAGTGCCTGAAAACAATTCAAGAAAATGTAGTCATTGTCTGTATAGAAGTGAGAAATTTGAACAGAAGGAATCCCCTTTTGTTGCTCATTGTGATTAGTTTTGGGATATACCTTGACTTGTGTCTCTAGTTCTTTGATGTAGTCAGCTGCAAAGTCCAACATATCCGCCGTGTTTGTTTGCTGCAAAGAAATTGAAATTGGAAAACAAGAAAAAGAAAAGAATAAGAGAAGCAAATTTCAACTGAATCATATTCTATGTTGCTCGGACTCTCCAAAAATGTTGACGCACTCATGTTGGATCTTCCAGAAATGCACTGCTTTTGGATGATCCGACATGCACCCGTGGGCCTTTTTGAAGAGTCCGAGCAACATTCATATTTTGGGCACCGTAAGTTAAGATTACCTTATCCATATTGGGGACAAGCTCTTGCAGCTTCCTCATTCTTTCGCTTATTCGTGTTCTTCTTACCTAAGATAAGTAACAATTGAATCAGTACTTGCTTAGCCTATCTTTCAGGGATAAAAAGACAACTTGATTTAACTGATTTGTGATCTAGATTGAATATAAGAGAACTAGATTTTTTACTAGTGTGAGTTGTGTACCCTTTCGGCGATGCTACGAGGATGAGTGGCACAGCCTCTCTTTGCTCTGACTTTACATGGTACTGAATCTTGCAAGAGCTTCTCCATGGCGGATAACTCCGCTGATGTTTGAGGTAAACTCAAATGAGACAATAGAGTGGGAGGGCGAGCTCGACCTTCACTACTCTGATTACCAAAACCATGTATGCATGAGATTAATCAGGCATAAAGACAACATCAATAATAACAATAACGACTACGACTACTACTACTACTCAATCCCAAACTAATTGAGTAGGTCATATGAAGATGCAATTTTTTAGACCTGTTTCATTTCAATACAGGCGGTAAAAGAATGACAAATGTGATTATAAGTATAATACCTGATTATCAGATGCATTTCCATTGGAGAATGATCCGGCCTCATCATCTTCTGGTACTTGTAGGAAATCATCAGTCAAAATTTGTGAATCATCCCAAGAAGGCATGGGGAAACCTGCCATGTAACTCTCATCACTTTTATGGCCTTTACCAAAACATTCGTCGCCTCGTCTGCTCTCTTCTATGCTTTTAGCTCCAAATTCAGAGATTGGAGCTAATAGCCCCGAAGAAGTAGGTTGTCCGGATGGGAGAGCCGTTTGACTACTAAACCTGCTTGGATTGGAAAATGATGCTTCTCCAGCAGCATTAGTACCACTACCAGCTCCATAATTCCCTATGCCTCTCAATGCACCATAGTCTGTCAATTGCTGAAAAAGATTTAGTAACAAACTCAAAACACTAATGTCAGATCAAAACAATGGAAATGATCACAAACTTAGTAGCTCTGATTGGCTACCTGACTTTTCACCTTATTGGTGAGGATTCGATTCTCCACCTTGTAGTCCCCTCCCCCTTTTTCTAAAAAAGAAAACATCCCAAGAGAACCTACTTTTTCTTTCTTCCCTTGCCAAAGTATAATATAAGAATATCCCAGCAAAACAATAGTCTATGTTGTTCTTCTAGCTAATATCTACAAAGTTCATAAGGGAAGACTTGCATAGATATGATATCACTACCAATAAGATTTTCGTCTGTACAAAACAGTTGATGAGTAGTTCGTGGCAAAAATTGATGACACGCCTCGTTTCTCTTCTAAAACCAATTTAGCTATCTCCAATGACTATGACAAGTATGCATATGTAATTAATTTTCTAGAGCATAGCTTAAAATAGAATCTTGGCTCAATCCACACAACGCAAAATTCAAAATAAACATTTAAACGAATAAACGAGCTTAAAATGAATCTCCTCGTAAAAACAAAAACAATCCCTTCATCTGAATGTAGCCCATTAGTCAAGATAATAAGAATAATCAATACCAAAGATATTTAACCAAGACAATGCATACCATTTTCAATATTGACTTGTGCAAAGAATCCAGCAGGCGAACTGTTATAACGAGTAAGATTTGAGTTACTACTACCAGTACCAAATCCACCATCCATTTTCGTCTGGTTCAAACGATTATATCTGCCAAAGTTATCCATTCCTGAAGTAAAGTCTGTTGAATTGTGATTTTGTTGAGCTTGAGTTTGATAATTCATCTGTGAAGTCAAAGAATAATCACTATTCTGCTGAGTAATTTCTTGTTTCACAGGTGCAACGAACTGTGAATTCTGACTCTGTTGTTCTTGGCATTGGTAATTCATTTGCTGCTGTTGAGCTTCGTGTTCTTGTTTCATAGGAGCTACAACTTCAGATCTAACATCCATATTGCTCATGGGATTTTGATGAATTTGCTGACTATCATCAATTAGGCCATCTGGATTCGAATCTTGGGGACCAATATTAGCTACAAATCTATCAAAAACTTGCTTTATACCACTATTCGAAGCGCGAGGATTGAGCAACTGATCAAAATCATCTCTTGCATAACCACAGTTCCCACTCCCACCAGAAACATCAGCTGGATTATTACTACTCAATAAGCTGGTAAAATAAGAACTTGGTGCGGATCGATATCGAGTTAAACCAGAAGTCATCTGTTGCTGCTGATGACTTCTATCATCCATACTTTTCTCACTTCAAACACCTAAAAGAATTCTCCTTTATCAAGACAACAACTACTACTACTACGCCTAAATCTCAAACAAGTTTGAAATCAGTTATCTGAATCCTCACTATCCGTGTCGCTCCATTTAAGAATTCTCCCTCCACACACCCAAAAGAATGCTTTTTTATCAGAAAAAAAGAACAAAATGACACTGTATGCAGCTCAGATCCACAGCCTAGAATACCAAATATTAAATTACAGAAAATCTAAAAAAAAAAAACTTTTTAATAATGTCTATACATAAAGTGTTACCTACCAGCTTTAAATCTTGAATCCCCTTATGTATACAACAAATACCAAAACCATTCTCAATTCCATCAAAAAAATCAAAACCTCAAACCTCAAAATTCTCTTTCAGACCTTTTATCAAACAAATAGTAAACTTTTCAAGAACCCCATAAACAAAAAACCCAAAAGCTCAAATCTTTCAACTATGTGAGCAAAATTAAAAGACACCCACTAAAATTCAAGAATCAAGAACACAAATTCATATGCAAAATAGTACTAAAATTATAGCTAAGAATTGAAAAAAAAGTGAGCTAAAAAGCAACAGAAACAAGAACAAGGTAAGTTTATCAGAAAAGGGATAAGATTGAAAATGAAATTAGCCACTACTATATATATAAAAAATTGATTCTTGACACTAGAAATACAAACAGCAAAAAAACAGAGTACACTAAAAGCAATTTGCTGATTATTTTTTTTCAATTTTTTTGCTTTGAGAAAATGGATATGGTGGTGGCAGTAGGAGGAGGAAGAAGAAATATACCCCTGGTGGGGGTGGGGGTGGGGTGGAGGGTAGGGGGTGTAAGGGGAAAAAAGTACAGAGCCAATGAGAACAGCAGCAACAGAGAGATCTGGGATGTTATTTTTGTTATATTCTATTTTTAGCACTATATATGATGAAGTATTTATTGTATATATTTGTTTTAACATATTAATTGTAACCTTATTTAATTAATTTGGAGATATTTCTTGTTGTGAAATGAATAGGATTCCTCGACTTTTAACTGGAGATCTCGAGTTTTTCAAAAAAATAAGAGATCTTGAGTTTGAGTTTGCAAATTCCTCATCTTTTAACTAGAGATTTAAAGTTTGAGTTCGCTAATTTCTCGATTTTTAGTTAGAAATCTCAAGTTGAGTTCGCAAATTCCTCGGCTTTTAACAAGTTCGAGTTCTACAAATGAAAAAAATATATAAAAGAGAGTGCTTCTTTTCTTTAATGAATCTTATAATGGCGTGAATTTGAATTAGACAAAGATTCAATGGGATATCGAATGCGAGATAAAAAAAAAATGTTGGGCTTTATTGTTTTTTTGCAAAAGCTTTATTGAGAATTTTTAATGAAAGTTTATTTTTCTTTTTAACTTTCTAAAGTAAGCTTTAAATAGTCAGAAGCTAAATATAATAATTTTTTTTGATGACCAAACTAAATATAAATTTAAAAAAATTACAATATTGTATGACTAAAAAGATTGTGATGGAAGAAAAAAATATTTGATTCTTCAAATAATTATATTATAATAATATATAATAGGGAAAGTAGTTAATTTATCATTTATTTATTTTTAAAGGAGAATAATTCATAATTTAAACAATTTTGTCTATGTACAAATTTTGGACCACATTTTTAGTTGACCCCTAAGCCCTCAAAAGGGAAAAGAAAGAAACAAATCCTTGTAGTTTTAGGGAAATTATTTTTGACTGAATGAAGTTGAAAGAATTGACAAATCAAGATATTTTAACTGAAAAACAGTTGAAAATTACAAATAGATTTAAGAGAAATCCATTTAGAAGGTTGTTTATTGATCGAGCACGCTTATATCTTTATATATTTTGTGGATTATTATACTGAATCGAAATTTATTAAAGATCGAAATAAATAATTGCAGGTCCTTAAAATAACAAAACAATGAAACTAATTAAGTTCAAACTATGATTTAAGGTGGTGAGAATAATTAGCGTACTTGAAAAAAAAAAGAAACTTTTTATTTATTAAAAAATTGATTAACTTTTTAATTAAAAAATTGATCTGTCGAGGCAACCAAGTACACAGGTGTATACTCAGTGATTGGCTTAAATAAAATATTACTAATTAATTAATATTTAATCATCCGCGCTGAATAAACTAAACAGTCCATTAATTACAAGGTAGATTTGGTAATCTATTAAAGTATATAAAGTATGATAATGACAACTATAATAAGAATTAAACTCCTTTAATATCGGAGATTAGAGTTGGAAGTAAGCTATTTTTTCTTAATTAATTCCTTATGGTTTTGTCTTTATTTGGCATGTTAATTGAAACCAGTTAAATTTACGAGGTGCACAAAAAAAAAAAAAAAAAAAAAAATATATATATATATATATATAAAAACTTTTGAGAAAGACAACTCATCAACCGATTTGATCTGAACTCTTAAAAATGAGATAATTTCGATAATGAATAGCAAGATTTTAGTATTTTTCTCTATCGCTTTAAAATATTCACCCGATTGAACTTGTCAAATCAAACTTTTCAATATCGTAACACAGTATATGTCCTAATTGTTGTCCTTCATAACGTATTTAAGACATTAACACCTCATAGGGAGCTTGACTTTTGCTTTTAAATTATTATTTTTTAGAAAGTTTGACTATTTAGCCCAACATTTTGGAGGATAGGAACTAAATGCTTCATTAATAATTGTGACCTAATTTCTTATTTACTCTCAAAACTCATTATCAAGTTATAATCGAGTTGAAATTGAAATGGATTAAGAGAAGAAACATATTTAGACGACATAACTGACCTATAAATTAGACATTGAGATCGATCGAAGTTAGTCAATTAACTAAAAGAGACGATAAAAAATTCATTTTTAACCCTATATTATATCATACATTTGTCATCAATAACGGGACACAATTTTCATCACCTAAAGAATTCACTGTCTACTGAAGTAGGGGAATCTTTTTTTTTTTTTTAAAAAAACAATCAAAAAAAAAAAAAAAACTTCAATATTGTCACCAAGAAGCAACTACTACCAATTTTTCAATTCCAAAAAAAATATCATGAACTTAATTATATCCATGATTGAAGCTAAATAAAGAGAAATTATAATCATATATATGTAGGGTATATACGTTGAAATAAATTAATATATTAGTCAAATTAATAGCTGTATTTTTTGTTTTGTTAGGATAAATTAATTAACGATCCGATAATTTTGAATCCTTATGTAACACGTATTACTTGTAAAAGATTTTTTTTCAACAAAAAATGTGAATTAGGAAAGATTAGTCGGTGAAATATGAAGACTTTTTAGTATACCTATTATTATAGTGTGTTCTAGGGGTGTGCATTCAGTTTTACGGATTGATTTTGTTTTTGTACATTCGATTTGAATTTATCGATTTTTGGTTTTAAAGAAGTGTAACCCAATCCGAACCAAAATAAATTTTGTTTGGTTTGTTTTTTTCTCTTTTCGGTTTGATTATATATATATATATATATAATATTTTTTGTTTAACGTAACTAATTAAATAAATGTGTTTGATATATCATTAACTGCCTAATTCCCAAAATTAAATAATAGTATTCCAAATTATTACCATCCTTTTCCTTTTTCAAAAGAAATATATATATAATATTTTTTTGTTTAACGTAACTAATTAAATAAATGTGTTTGATATATCATTAACTGCCTAATTCCCAAAATTAAATAATAGTATTCCAAATTATTACTATCCTTTTCCTTTTTCAAAAGAAAAGGTGTTGGTGGATTGGTCGAGCACGGATCTCCTAAATGGGTTGTTTCAAATTTGAAATTCATTCCATGCTTCTCGGTTGAGTTCGTCGTACGAGGCTCACCAAGTATGATTTATTTCTCTTATATAGTTTACGGATAATTGCATTGGAGTGAAATTTCCTGCACACCCAAAGACAGCATTTGCGATTTTCTAAGTTTTTTGTGTGTGTTAGCTCATTAATATTTTGGTGATATGATTTTTGAATGATTTCTTTGAAAAACCTTTACGGAACCCTCCGTAGGGAGTTGGGGGAGAAGTACGTACATTATCACCATTTTTAGTGTCTATTTTGGGTATTTAAGGGCCAATTTAAAGAAAATAGACAATTTTTTTCAATTTTTCGTGTGTGTTAGCCTATGAATATTTTGGTGATACGGCTTCCTGGCGATTTCTTTGTGAAACTTTTATGGAACCCTCCGTAGGGAGTTGGGGGAGCAGTACGTACAGTTTCACCGTTTTGGGAGTCCATTTTGGGCATTTAGGGGGGAATTTACAGGAATTAGGCAATTTTCATGTGTGTTAGCGCCTGGATTTTTTGGTGATATGACTTCCAGACAATTTTGTTGTGAAACCTTTATGGAACCCTCGGTAGGGAGTTGGGGGAGAAATATGTAAGGTCTCACCATTTTCAGAGTCCATTTTAGGAATTTAGGGTCAATTTACAAGAATTAGACAATTTTTTCAGTTTTTTGTGTGTGTTAGACCATGAATATTTTGGGTGATATGAATTCCAGACGAATTCTTTACGAAACCTTTACGGAACTATCCGTAGGGAGTTGGGGGAGTAGTACGTACAATCTCACATTTTCAAAGTCCATTTTGGGCATTTAGGGGGTAATTTACATGAATTAGGCGATTTTCTCAATTTGTCGTGTGTGTTAACCCATGAATATTTGGTGATATGGCTTTTGAACGATTTTTCTTGTGAAATCTTTATGGAACCCTCCGTAGGGAGTTGGGGGAGCAGTATGTATAGTCTCACCATTTTCAGAGTCCCTTTTGGGCATTTAAGGGGCAGTTTACAAGAATTAGATGATTTTCTCAATTCTTTGTGTGTTATCCCATGAATATTTTGGTGATATGCCTTTCAGATGATTTCTTTGTGAAACCTTTATGGAACCCTACGTAGGGAGTTGGGGGAGTAGTATGTATAGTCTCACCATTTTCAGAGTCCCTTTTGGGCATTTAGGGGGCAATTTACAAGAATTAGACAATTTTCTCAGTTTTGTGTGTGTGTTATCCCATGAATATTTTGGTGATATGACTTCCAGACGATTTTTTTTGCGAAACCTTTATGGAACCCTCCCTAGGGAGTTGGGGAGCAATACGTAGAGTCTCACTATTTTCGGAGCCCATTTTGGGTATTTAGAGGAAATTAATAGGAATTAGGCGATTTTCTCAAATTTTCGTGTGTGTTAGCCCATGAATAGTTTGATGATATGGCTTCCTGACGATTTCTTTGTGAAACCTTTATAGAACCCTCCATAGGGTATTGGGGGAGTAGTACGTACAATCTCGTCATTTTAAGAGTCCATTTTGGGCATTCAAGGGAAATTTATAGGAATTAGATGATTTTCTCAGCTTTTTTTGTGTGTTAGCCCATGAATATTTTGGTGTATGGCTTCCAGAAGATTTCTTTGTCAAACCTTTATGGACCCTCCGTAGGGAGTTAGGGGAGCAGTACGTATAGTCTCACCATTTTCAGAGTCCATTTTGGGTATTTAGGGGGCAATTTACAGGAATTAGGCGATTTTCTCAATTTTTCGTGTGTGTTGTTAGCCCATGCATATTTTGGTGATATAGCTTATGGATGATTTTTTTGTGAAACCGTTATGGATCCCTCCGTAGGGAGTTGGGGGAGCAATACGTACAATCTCACCATTTTCATAGTCTCTTTTGGGCATTTAGGGGGTAATTTACAAGAATTAGACGATTTTCTCAGTTTTTGTGTGTGTTTGCCTATAAATATTTTGGTGATATGGCTTCCGAACGATTTCTCTGTGGAACCTTTATGGAACCCTCTGTGGGGAGGTAGGGGAGCAGTATGTACAGTCTCATTATTTTTGGAGTCCATTTTGGATATTTAGGGACTAATTTAAAGGAATTAGGCGATTTTCTCTGTTTTTTGTGTGTAACGCCCATGAATATTTTGGTGATTTCGTTATTTTAGCAGCAACAACTACAGACGCAAGAAGCGCTTCTTTTATGAAAAATTTAAAAACATCGAACTAAACTATGACTTATAAATACGTAGATAAGATGTTAGTGGACCAACTAATTTTTATTTTTTTAAAAAAACAGTAAAGAAAAACTAATAGCAATGAGACATTAAAGTACGTTATGTGAGGTCCCTATCAATGTTACAATCCAAAAATTAAATAACAGAATTAGGAGTAATATCTATTTCTTGTGAAGAAGATCTTTATATGGTTCATATATATTTTTGACGTTTCAAAAAAAGCTGAACATATCACTTTTGTTTTTAACGACAATGTTAACTTTTAAAATAAAAAATATCTTTTAGAGAATAAATTACAAACCACAACATGTTTCACCTGAACCTAATGGAAAAATAAATACATCTTTCATTTTCATCTATATGAGGTTCAAATTCCTGCGGAGATAGAAATATTAGGTGATTCTTTCGATATGTCTAAATTTTAGTGGATAGAGTTAGCTAATACTTGTATCGATAAGATGTAGCAGTATGTTTTTAGAATGTTTTCATTGTGTATTGCCAGTATATTGTATATATTTATATTGGTCGAGTCAAAATTCTAATAGAATGGCTAGGAATTAAAGAGACAAATCTCATTATAAAATGTGCCAAAAATCAATAATGCAAAGATTTTTCTACTTTTGGAATTTATCCCCACCAAATCTATTTTGCTTTACACTAATAGCAACAGATAATGGAGTTTACACTGTAGCCACATTATAATGGGCTTTATTAATCTAATTATGGGATGCCCTTAAGAAATTACACTTGCAGATATAGCTCACAAAATTCTTTAGACCATAGTCTAATATTTTCTCATAAAATTCTCATGCATGCTTAAAAAGAATCTTTAGACCGTAATCTAAAAAGTTCATATGTTGCAAGAGAAGTAAAAATGCATAATACGTTAGATAGACATCTTACAGATCTCAACTGGCACTGGCAACTGAATACTCCAATTTTGCAGATGCATGTCTATACGCCTCAACTCATCTTCACTGTGTCAATTGAACACTCCAACTTATAAGAATCAAGTGTCCATGAGACACAATGGGACAAGTTGTGTTTAGATGTGCATTCTCAAATTTGTAGTGTTTAGTGCCATTTGAGACCAAGTTAAGGTGTCTATATTTGTATTATGTCAAATAAAAAGAAGTTATTTACTAAGCAACCGCACCAAAAAAGGATCAACCCGCGAAAATTTCTGGTATATTTGTCAGAGATGTTCCCTAGGGAACAATCATATCAAATGACAAAGAAAAAAAGAAAAGGAGAGGAGAATGTACACAGACCTTACCCCAGCCTCATGGAAGGCAAGAAGGAAAAATACACTTGTGCAAAGTACAGAACAAGAGTGTAGTGTCAAAACAGGAGCTCAATTCTTCAACTAGTGATACAAATTTAGATATTACAGTTCAGCAACACCAAAAATGGAAGTAGCTGAGCATTTTATTTTCCCTATGATACATGAACTACTTTCTGAAATTTGCATTGAAATAGGATGAACATTACATTTATTAATAAGAGCTTAGCCAAGAACAACATCTCGAAAATACTGAAGAATCATTCGATTAAGCTACAAATGTATGCAGATAGAACCATATGAGAACTCAGGTTAAAAATGTAAGAATGACCTCAGTAGCTACTTACTATTGATGACAATCTTCGAATTTGAACTGCAAATCCTAGACTATGTATACTTCCTCATTGAACTGCTTCTTCCAAGAATAAGAAAGATAAAACAACGATATACCTGCACAAAACCTTAGTCGAAAATTCTCTCCCCTGTTGATAGTACTAGAAATACAAAAGAGCTGAAAATGCAGAGCAGCCCTGGAATGAAGAATACTGACGTCCAGCTTTCTGGACTGGTAAGATCCAACTGGGCCTCTTTAGCAGCTTCAAGTAGTCGACCAGTGAGATCAACTCCAACAATGCCAGCTAGTGTACCAGCTGTATTTGAAACTCCCATAATAATTCCAGCATACCTTGGAGCAATATCCATGTGATTGACTGCAAAACCGGCTCTTCCTAATGCTAAGAAACCAAGGGCCACGGAGGAACAGAACAGAGCCCCGCCAGGTGTTCTAAAGTAAGGAAGAGCCATCAATGCAAGAGAAGCTACGATGAAACCCACTGTGTTTAAAAGTTTTCTGGTTTTAGTTATAGACAAGATTCTCCTAGTGACAAAGTGATCTGCGATTACTCCGCCAATATTTGAGAATAGAAACATGTTTAAGTAGGGCATCATCTTGGAAGAGCCCATTTCTTGAAGGCTGATCTGGAGACCCAATTCAAAGTATGTCGGAAGCCAGTTCATGAGCACGTAAAGTGCATAATGAAAGGTGAAATTATTCACAACAATTGCCCAAACTGGTAAGCTCGTGACAATTCGTTTCCATGGGATTGTTGGAGTTTTGGTGGGATGTACTCCATTCTCTGCTTTCAACTTTGAACTCCCTCTGAGCGGCAGCAGGGTTTCCCCAAAGCCAGACGCAGTTGCTTTTGGATGCTCAGAACGAGGTGGATCAGCCGCATAACTGAACCAGAGTAGAGACCACATTGCACCTAAAGCTGCTTCAGCAAGAAATACAGACTGCGGACCCCTATACTTCACCAGACTAGGAAGCATAAGCATTCCCATGGCTGCACCCAAGTACATTCCGGAAGTTGTAAAGGAAACAGATCTTGATCTTTCATGCGGCGGTACCCACTGTGCAAGGACAGTGTGGATGGACGGAAAAATGAAACCTTGGGCCACACCAACGAGCAAACGGGCTATTACCAGGACAATTGTTCGGTTTGGGTCAAGTGGTACAAAAGCACATGTCAAAGACCATAAGAGAAAAGAAAGGAGGAGGACACGCCGTCCACCAATCTTTTGAGCTGCCCAACCACCAGGTACTTGTGAGCATGCATATCCATAGTAAAAGGTCGACAAAATCACACCTTTGCTGCTCTGATTTACTCCTGCAGCATCAGCAGCAGTAGTATACGCAATAGAGAAGCCCACCCGCTCTATGTAGCAGACAGAAGTGCAGATGAACATCAAAAATACAATTAAATAGCGCCTTGGAAATCGACTGCTGCCCATTATATGCTAGTTTGTAAATGCAAGCCATACACTAGATGACTTGAATTTCTGTTGAGTAATCCACTAAACAGTGATGTTTAGCAGGCTTGAAACTAATTGACAGAAAGAAAGAGTCAGATCAAAACATCTCATTTTAGTAAAAATTTAACCATATAGATATCAAACATTTGTAGTAAATCACGCAAAAGCAACTCAAAGATATTCCAAACAGGGTAATACTGGAAACAAGGGAGAAAAGCACGGAAGGTAGGGAAAATGCAACTGAAAACAAATGGTATAACTCAGATGTTGCATTTCAACTCAACAATATCACATCAAAGAAACAACTTTTACTGCAAAATTTAGACTTTCAAATCCAAGAATCTAAGACAACATTGTTCAGATGTATGTTGCTCGGACTCTTCAAAAATGTTGTTGCACACGTAACAGATCCTCCAAAAATGCACTACTTTTGGAGGATCCGAAATGCACCTATTAACATTTTTGATGAATGAGCAACATAGTTTCAGATATTACAAACAGTTGCAAGGGTTCTGAATGACGCAAATTATTTTAAGAAGTAGCCTTTATCTGAAGTTTCAGAGGTTTACGAATTCCTCAAATAACTAATGGACAGAAGCAGATTTGATCACTTTATAGAAGGATGTCAGAGAATTGGCTGTCGCAAGAATATAACTACCACAGAAAGTCACACCTGCTAATCTAAAATTCATTTAACTATATCCTTAGCATTGCTAGAGATTGCTTTAACATATCGCCAACCATAAGTTTCTCCAAGTTTTTGATTTTCCTACTCAAAACTTCAAACCCTTCTTTTTATTTTTAAAGCAAGTAAAGACTTTTCATATGGTTTCAGCACCGAGAATTGTTCTACTGTTAAAACATTACAATGAAGCTCATATTTGCAGCGAGTAAATAAAATCTACCAATTTTCCTTCATTATACATCTCCACCAAATTACAACATGTAGTGGAATTACTTAACTATTAAAACTTCAAAATCCGGATAGAAGTAGTTTTGCCCTTCAAAACACCTCAAATTCCTTTCCCTCGTATAGTCCAAAATACACAGCTAGGAATAGTCCAAAATACACAACAAGAATCTTACCCCCATTCCCATTTCCAGCATCTCACTCTGGAGCTTGCATCTAACTCAACTCCAAAATTTAGCTCATGAGTTAAGGATGCAAACAACATATTCCTTCAACTAATGTGGAACGCTCTAACAAGAATCTAATTCCCATTTCCAACATCTCGCTCTGGAGCTTGCATCTTACTCAACTCCAAAATTCAGCTCACGCGTTAAGGATTGCAAACACCATGTTCCTTCAACTAATGTGACACACTCTAACAAGAATCTTACCCCCATTCCCATTTCCAGCATCTCGCTCTGGAGCTTGCATCTATAGTCAACTCCAAAATTCAACTCACGAGATAAGGATTGCAAACACCATAGTCCTACCCCCATTCCCATTTCCAGCATCTCACTCTGGAGCTTACATCTAACTCAATTCCAAAATTCAGCTCACGAGTTAAGGATTGCAAACACCATATTCCTTCAACTAATGTGGGACAACGCTCTAACAACAATCTAACCCCCACCCCACCCCCACCCTATTCCCATTTTCAGCATCATGTGAGAAGCAAGAAAATATGTTTTTGTTGTCAACTCTTATCAAAATATCAATCAATTCAGCTATATAAATCCAGTTTTAAAACAATAAATAGAAGTTACTAAACAAGAACAGAAAGTGAAACAATGACAAAGATCGCATCTTTACTACCAACCTCTCAATCGGTCAACGAAAAGTCCCCCAAAAACCTTAAAATCTATGAAAAAGAAACCCCATTTATCAAATTAAACAGAAATTCACAATACCCACAAGCTCAAAACACAAAAAGATTACTTCAAAAATGTATAAAACACCATCAAGCTTAAAATTTTACCACAAATCAGAAGAAACTTGACACTGGGTATTTGCAAGAACACGAACACTTCACTGAAGATCAAGAAATCACTGTCACCTCCATGGCCAAAATCTTAATTGTTAATTCAAACAGCATTGTGAAGAGAGGGGTTTTCTAGATAAAGAAGAGACTGGGGAAGGTCTGGTGGGGGGCTAAGTCTTAGGTTCCCAGAGTTTTTTTTTTAGGTACCCAGAGTTGACAAAGAGAGGTTTACGAGTGCAGGACTCTATTTTTTTATTTTTTACAAATAGGCAAAGGGGTTATGCCATTTAAATACGTGAAATTCATTATAATTTTATCATATGATAATAGTTTGATTTAATTATTTCTCGTTTTTTATTGAGCCAAAAATGTCCATTCATCTTACATATTTATGATTTGTTCGTTTATAACTAACATGATTTAAGTCTGTTCGGAGCAAAAATTACATATCTTTTTAATTGTATTACAATTTACAAGTAGCATCCCTTACTTGCACTCATCTTTATTGTCATATTGATAAACACTTTGCATTTTGACTATCTGCATTTGTCTATAAGCAATTTTCATCACGAATCAATCAATCAACTACGTTTCAATTTCAAACCAGTTTAATTTTGCTTAGCGATTTGCAGTCAGATACTCAATACTCTTTTGTTAGGATAAATTAAGGATTCTATAATACTCGAGATTAGTCAAATCTCATATCTCTAAATCAAGACATTAGACAAGTAAACAACAATTTTCATGATTGTAGGAAAATATTTGAATTTATTATTGTGATCTGCAACATTCTCTATGATTGAATGTTGAAATACACAGTATAAGATTCATCTCTAAAGCTAAGCAATGGTGACAAAATGAAGTTTCTCTTTGCCCCTTTCGCCACGAAACTGATAGGATGATACTCACTAATGCCATTTCCCAGTTTAAAACTTGATGCTTGTTTGAATCCAGCATCCGAGGACTTCGAGTTGCAGCTAAGCTTGACAGTTGAACTCGATTGGTAGTCCACATTGCTATAGATGAAACACCCTTTCTCTGCTTCAGACTCGAGAGAAACTGTATTGTCCTTCCCGTCCAATCCAGCTGTCAAACGGAATAAGGAACCACCATCATCTGAGGAGGCTGCAACCCCGAGACTTTGTTCTTGTCCTTGATGAGAAATGAACAATCCAGGGAGATCAAAGAGCTCTAACATGACTTGTTTTCCAATGATATCTTTTTGTTGTGAAGGCTTGACAGATGATTTGTCGAGTGAAATGAGTCTGAACGTACCGCTAACAGCAGCATCTGTTCCAGCTTCAGGGTACTTCTCCATTTGAATGGACTGATTAGAGTTTGTCAGAACGAATGTTGAGTTACCGGATTCTTGCATCAGAGATATCAAATCAGAATTATAGTCAGCTGGGACGGGAGTGATCAAGTCCGAAAGAGCAGTGGTTGATTTTGTTTCGATGTCCCAATCACCACTTGAATGACCAGCAAGAAGGTATGGACCATAAAGAATTGCCTGAACGGATGCATATTCAGGACGGTCATCTGAAGCATCACACAAGAATTTCTTTTAGCTATAACACAACTGTGAGATGTCTTCTCCACACGAAAAACTGATAAGAGTAGTAGAAACACACAAAAGAAGTACCTTGTATGGCCTCAGTTCTAAGAATCATGGGTAGCTCGAGAGTGATTTTGTCGCCTTGACCCCAAGTTTTGGTTATAGCCAGGAAATTACCTGCATCAACAAGTAGAAACGAAACGCCATAAAACTCTTTCTTTAAGGTTATCAATTATACAAAGACCATAACTAGGCAGAGAGAATGATTTGATGATAATAAAGAGGCATCAGATGAAAGAAAATGTCACACCTGGTGTTGGTAGAGACAAATCATTTCCATTCAAGGTTGCCTTTGCGCCACTTGAATGTGTCCAGCTCGGTATTCTCAAGTTCAACGTAGACGCTGCACCACTTGAATGCTGAAAGAAACATACAGAATATAATCTATTGATCGTTCAAAAGACGATACTCATGGTAAGTTGTCCTACATGCTATTTGATCAGCTAGATGAAAATGAAATTCGGCAATAATTTGAAGATAAACATGAGAGAATGAACACGTACCCCATTTGAAGATATTGTAATTGTCACTCGGAGGCGATTATCCCATGAAACAACAGGCTCGATTTTCTGACTCACCAAGACCTGTCCAGATTTCCAATCAAGAGAGCTAGGTATATACTGGATAATGTAGAGGCCTGGAGAATTCCCTTTCTCTTCGAAATATATAGAATCTCCCAACTTGGAGAACGATTCAATTCCTTTAAAGGACACAAAGGGAAACCAAATGTTAAAATCATTACAGGTTTTCATAGGTTACGAATCTTTAAGGTAAACTCGGAAGGTCAGAAAATCACCTGTCCCATAACAGCACCAAAAGGAATTGAACTGTGTTCCCCAATTGTGGTAGCTCCGAGCCTTGGATTTGCCACGACCAAGAGGAAGCATATATATCATAACTCCAGGATCTGTTCCCCTTTGGATGCCGAGTACACCATTTGTTAACGCTCGTTCATAGTAATCAGCATATGCCATTTCTTTGGTCCATCTGAATAGGTGTCGGGAAACCTATAGAGATATCAAACAAAAATACTTACATCACTTCGTTCTTCACCTATGAACAAATATAAACTGCAATAGTACTTTAGCTCCTTTCTCTATTTCTCATTTCACTGAGAAATGAACCTATGAAAGTTTTCATTTCTAAATAGACAAAATCTTATAACACACCTTCAGCATGTTATAGGTTGTACAGGATTCCTCATTCTCGGTTTGTAGTGTGCTTGCCAACCGCTTTGGATCGGACCTGAAAAGGATCAGAATGTCAAAGAGGAGCTAATTTTGTGCATATAAGAAGTATACTTAATCAAACATGAAACAAAACTGATGCATCAATTAAGTTAAATTTCTTGGATTGGCTCTTACCAAAACTCACCGACTGATGTCCCACCAGTTGCATAGCTGTGGGAAGAATTGACGATATCCATAAAGTACATCCCGATTTCCTGTCAAACAAAGTTCAATAACTTAAGAAGATCGAACCTCCTGTCCAACAACTTGAAAAGCAAATCAATTTACCTTGTATAGGGGATCCCCAGTAATTTCATAGCGCATTTGAGATCCAACAACAACTGGGATGTGTGTATTGGCATGAAAACCTGATATATCATCAGCCTGTTGTAATAAAAGATATTAGGAAATGGGAAAGAAATGGATCGTCTCCTCTAGACGAAACAATTAAGTACTCTTTCTTTGATATGTTGATTATTATAACACATCCAGTTGAGTTTTACAGAATGGTAATTAGGATAACCACTAAAAGCAACATTTTTATGTGAGCCAGTGAATTAGAATTCGCGGAGAAGTGCGATTTACACCTTTAAAGCTAAGAGTCCTAGAAAGCATGGTTTGTCAAAAAGATGAGCCAGCAGTAAATGCTTTGAATTGCCCTGCAAAACCAATAAAAGGGAAGTGTTAAGTCAGGATAATTGAGTTGTATACATATATTCGCTTTGTAAGATTCTCTGTCGCAAAGAAAATCGGACATAAACGAAAATATGTAATCTTTATCATTGGTCCGATAGGCATTACATTTGACACACAAGTGCAGAATCCAACAACAACAACGTATCCAGTGTATCCCATAAAATGGGATTCGGGGAGGGTAGATGTACGCAGACCTTACCCCCTACCGCAGAGGTAGAGAGGCTATTTCCGATAGACTCCCAAATCAAGGAAAAACAGTCCAAAGCAGTTCGGAAAAAGAAGTAACGGGACACAAGGAGCAGAATACAAAAAATGCAAATGTAAAGAAGAACAAATATACAGATTCCTGCCCTAAATTCACATACATTTGTATCTAATTCAAGTTTAATTGAGAATTCCAAACAAGAAATCAGTTCACGTGTGCTCATATGTGACGTCGACATCAACTGGAACAGAAATTATACAACAGAAACTAGAAAGATTAAAAATTGTAAGGCAGTTCATTTGACATAATATACATACCGTTATACTGTATAACTTATAAAGAACATCATTCATGCCACCAGTTTCTTCATTCAAGGATAGCCAGTGTCGTTCAATGGTATACTTTGTTATCACATTTTGCACTCGATTATAGAAGTACTCGGCCATCCATGTAGTCATTTTCAAAGCTTGATCATTACCAGCTACCATATACTGGTCCAAGAGACCAGCCAATATCTGTAAAATCCAACGAAATAAGCCCGCTTATTCAAGAACAAAAACAGATGGAGATACAAGATTTTTTAACAAGTTAGTTTACTTCACCTTGTGAATTGTGTAGTATGGTGCCCATACTGGTTTTATAGCTTCAAAGCGGTCAAAAAGCTCAGATGGAAAAGCGGATAGATATCCCGAGCCCATTGTCTCCTGACAGGTAGAAAGTGCAGAAACAACAGCAGACATTTTCTGTTTGAGGCTGTCGTTGTGTGTGCTAGCCCACATATATGCTGAGGCACTAAGGTAATGACCTTTTCAAGTTACAGTTAACGTCAGTAAATAAATAAATCATACACGAATACGAGCACGTATAATTGAATGAAGTACAAACGCCAAAAACTCATCTTAAATGGTCGGAAAGTAAACATACTGAGAGGCAACAAGTAAAGGGAAACCAATTAAACATGCTACTGTATTCTGGTCATTAGTTCAGTATTAGAAATTGATACAACAACAACTACGCCTCAGGCCCAAACAAGTTGGGCTTGGCTATATGAATTTCCACTTCTTCGTTAAAGCTCATTTCCAACATTCTACATGGCAAGTTTAAGACCACAAGATTTAAAGGACTAAACACATCTTTAAATCCACAAGATTCAAAAGTCTCCTTTAATTTCTTAAACTCCGTGCCCAGGCAACTAAGACACTTAAATTGGGACCGAGGGAGTAAAAGATTCTAGCAAGCCATTTTATAGAATCACATTTTCAGGACATCAACAGAAACTAGTCGCAATACATTGTTCTTAAATGAGTACAAAGGAGGAATGCAGGGGAAGCAATTTAACAAATCTTTGGTAAATATTGATTTGAGCCATATTTTCGATTTCAAGTTGCTCAATAAAACTGTAGTTTTTCAGGCAAAACAAAAGTCATACATGGCAA